AATCCTGTGGCCTGGGGCCTTGGAAGGTCCCTTGAGCTCTGACCTTGCAGGAGTCTGTGAAACAGGCTCAGCTCTGCCACCCCTCTTCCCTAGGTCCTGACTGTCAGGGGAAATCATAGAAGAAGGGTTTGTTTACCGGCGTGACCTATCGGTGGGGTGGGGAGGGGCCTTGCTTAGGAGTAGCTTGAGAATGACTCAGCCTTTCAGTGAGAGTGCTGTGGTGGGTGGGAGGGGCTGCTTTGTAGCAGGGGGAAGGGGTGATGGGGCTGAGAGATGAGAGCTCTCCCTTCCACCGGGCCCCTGGACATTTGGGTCATGTGCACTGAGGCTGGACCAGGTTCATTCCCGAGGAGCCTGGCTGCCAATAGTGGGCGACGAGCTCCCTCGCTTTGGCTCTTCAGCTCTTACACACATGAGAGTCTGGGCTCGGTCTCTGGGTCTCCCTACAAAAGGCAATTAGGAAGGCTCCCACTACACAATATAAATCAGGCATGGGACAAGTATTTATTTCCTGCGCACAAAAGATGCAAAAACCTCACAGAACATACCAACAAGACACACAATCAGTTTGCAAAGATTTTTATAAATATTATCTGATTCGATCTTCACATTGACCTAGATAGGTAGATGCTATTATTATCATCCTTATTTTACAGCTGAGGAAACTGAGGCAGACAGGTTAAATGATTTGCCCGGGGTTACACAGACCTGGGATTTATCTGCCATGTGCTCCTGGCCACCCAAAGGAGGAATGCTTACCCCTAATTGTGGCTCCCTTTTTAATGGCCCGTTGAGTCATAATCAGCTTTTCCTGCCCAGTGGACAATAAGAGGATGCTCTGTTCTCCTAAAGGCAGTGCATTGTGTGTGGAACAGAGGGAGGGCAGAGCTTTTTTTTTGTTTGTTTTGCTAGGCAATGGGGTTAAGTGACTTGCCCAGGGTCACACAGCTAATAAGCATTATGTGTCTGAGGCTGGATTTGAACTCAGGTCCTCCTGAATCCAGGGCTGGTGCTCTATCCACTGTGCCACCTAGCTGCCCCAGGGAGGGGAGAGCTTTGAGGAGTGGAACAGTCTACAGGTGAGGGTGTCAGAGTCTGCAGAGAGGCCCAGAAGAAGGAGGATTTTTAGGAGTCATTGGATTTGGCAGTCAAGAGATCTTTGGCAACTTTGGAAAGAGCACAATTGAGTGATGGAGTTGGAAGCTGGGCTGTCTGGGGTGCAGAGGAGAGGAATTGGAGGCTCCTGGTGTGTGCCCATTCAAGGAGTTTTCTGGAAAAGGGAGAGGAGATGAAGGATGATCTCTAGATGGAGGAGAGAATGGAATCTGGTGAAGATTCTTTAGAGATGGGGAAATGCAGACATGTTTTTAGGCAGCAGGGAAGGAGCCAGCACATAGGGAGAGATTCAGGATGAAGTGGGGAAGGATGAGGATGGGGGCCATCTGATGGACAAGACAGGAGGAGTTGGCCTTGCTGGGAGAATGGCCAGGAGGGAAGGAGGAGGTGGTGGCCATGATGGCAGAGGGGTGTGAGATGAGGAGAGGGCAGAAGAGGGGCTCATAGTGAATGGTCTCAAGACGCCAGGCCCTCAAATGAGAGATTGGGGGTGGCTGTGCTGAGAGAGGGCTGAGCTTGGCACACGGTGGATGGGGTGGGCACAAAGCAGCTGGGGGATCTTGTCAGCAATGAGAGTTCCCCGTAGAGGAGATCAGGGACCCCTGCACAACTCAGTAGATAAATCGCAGGAAGGCACCTCAGGCACCTGGTGATGCACTGACTTGCCCAGTCTTGTGTTATGATTCTTACATGTTAGGCACTGGACTTGACCTGGGTCTTTCTGACTTGAAGCCCAGCCCCCCATGCCTCACTGCCTCGAAGGGGGCACTTAAAGGGCCGTCCCGCCAAGCCAAGTCACTGGGTAGCACACACAGGCCTAAGTGCTAGGGTACAAAGATACAGGACCCTGATCTCCCATAATCCTGAGCTCCTGACTCTCTCACACAGCAGATCCAGTCAGTTGCCAGATTTTCCTGTTTCTACATCCATAACATCGATATTGTCCAGTCTCTTCTCTCCACTCACATAGCCACCACTGTGGTTCAGAGGTAGAATTTGCACCCAGATCTTCCCAGCTATGAGCCTGGTTCTCCATTCACTCTTCCACACTGATGCTCTGTTTGTAGGGATACGAGGAAAAACAGCTCTTGGAAAGAGATTCGATTGAGGTGTCATGCAGATCAGGCCAACAAGCATTTATTAAGTGTGTACTGAATGCAGATACTTACCATACCTCAGCATACCCAAGAAAGACTGCAGACAGGCTTTGGCGAGCCTAGCAGAGGAGACGATGTGCCAACATTCCTGCACAGAGAAGGCCTGGGCTGGACGAGTTGGAGACATTGACAGGGGGAGGAATGAGGGCGCTGGGGATGGCTTCTTGCAGGGAAGGTGCTGTCTTAGCTGGGGCTTGATGGAAGCCAAGACAGAAATGAGAGGGGAGAGTGTCCCAGGCCTGGACTGGGGAAATGGACTGCCAGCAAGGAGGCCAGGGAGGAGGAGGGGAGGAAGGTGGAAGAAAATGGGAAAGGTAAGAAAGAAGGGCTTTTGGAGAAGGAAGTCTGGATTTTCCTGCTTGGCCCTAGAGGGCAGAAGTGGTGCCCATGGGGAGAGGCCCCAAGGAGGCAAATTTTGGCCTGAGTTACGGAAAGGCTCCTGAACAGCCTGAATGTTGCTTCAAACTGGAACAGGAATTCCTTGGGGAATTGTGGGTGCCCTCAGCCTGGAGATCTTTCAGCGCTGGGCTGGGCGATCTTTGGTCAGGGATTCTGCCGGGAGGAGTCATGCTTTGGGCGCCGGTTAGAGTGGATGGTCACTGACAGCCTCGCTATCCGGGAGCTGCCATGATGGTGGGTTTCTAAAGCAACCGCACAGGGTCTGGAATAGGCCTGTAAGGTCGCCCAGCTGGCCAAGGGCTACCAGGCCATGTCTGCCACCGGGGATGAGAGGAACCAGGTCTTTGATCAGAGTCTGTCATATGGAAAGAAGATTGGGTTTGATCTCCTGGCTGCCATCCAGCAAGGGAGCAGCCAGCCTCCAAAGGGAGCAGATGCATTTGTCACTTGAGGTTTCCAAGGGGAGCTGTGTGACCTCTTGTTGGGGGCTAAAGAACCGGGGAATCTCAAAGCTGGAAGCCATGTGGATGGATTTGTGCCTGGGCAGGGATCCCCATCGACCCTGACTGGCCCCTGTGCTGGGGGTCCCCCACCTCCCAGGGCAGCTCTGGGTGTGAGGAGGCTCTGCCTGGTGTTGGCAAAGGCCCGGGCGGGTCTGTCCTCAGTCTTCACTGACCAGGCTAAGTACCTAAGCATAGTCTTGGATCTGGAAGGAAGGTCAAGGTCCCCTAGCCCAACGTCTCATTTTACGGATGAAGAAACCTCTCTGCTTCCCTCAGTGAATCCTTGTATGGTGTGATTTCCTCACCAGAACTGAACACAGCCTCCAGAGAGGGCCTGCTGGGGCAGAAGGACACGCCCTCCCTGCTTCTGACACCTCCCTAACATTCGCATTCCCTTCAGTGCCGACCCACCTCCCCTCCCAAAATTCTCTAGCATGCACTTTGTATATATATTGTGTGTGGGGGGGGGGTAAGCTCCCCGAGGGTAGGAGCTGTTTTCTTGTTGGCTCTGTGTGCCCAGCGCCAAGCATGTTTTCTGGCCACAAGCAGAAAATTAACAAATGCCTGTTGATTGGTGGCTGGGTTTTCAGGTCACTCGCCACTCCCCTCCTCCCCTAGATCTCTTTCAGGCAAACCTCTATCTGCTAACCACACCTCCCCCACCCTGTACTTAGGAAGCAGATACTTTTAAACTCCAGTGAGAGGGGATTAATTCTTTAGGCATCAGTGACTAGAGCAGGATTTCTGAGTTGTTTATGTACCCTGAGCCCCTTTGGTGATCAGTCCAGTGAAGCCTGGGGACCCCTCCTCCAATCATGCTTCCAGATACAAAAATCAAAGACAGAGGATTACAAAGGGAATACAGTTATCAAAATATATTTTAAGAACAAGTGCACAGGCTCCACGTTAAGAACACCTAGACTAGATAATCTGATGTCACTGGCAGCCTGGTACAGGGGGAAAGAGATCACTGAGAATCTGGATTTAAGTCCTGGCTCTGTTCTGAGAGTTGGTAGCACAGTGGTTAGTGCCCTGGGGTCAGGAAGAGCTGAGTTCAAGTCCAGTCTCAAACACTGACTAGCTTCGTGACTCAGTTCCCTCAACTGTAAAATGAAGATAGTAACAGCAGCTCCCTTCTAGGGTTGTTGTGAGGATCAAATGAGATGGCACGGGCAAAGTGCTTTGAAAACTTTAATAGGAGCTGTGTCCTCCTGGCTGCGGCAGAGAGCGTAGTGTCCGGGAGGCCAGGGTTCAAGTCCTGCCTTTGACACACACTGCCCTCAAGGCCAGCGAAGTCATTTAACCCCTCAGTGTCCCAGGAAATTCTCTATAAAGTCACAGAAGACTGTGGCTCATGGAGGGGTTTTCCACACGGGGCGGCCATGGGTCTGCCCCTGAACTTCCTTCCTTCAAGGGCCTTCATCTGCTTCGTGATTTGGGGACTGGATAAAAATTCATTCTTCACCTGAGGTCTGTGAATGTGGGTTGTTTTTTAAAAAACATTTTGGTAACCATTTCAGTATAACTGGTTTCCCTGTAGTCCTGTGTCCTTTACACACTTAAAAACATGCTTCTGAGAAGGTGTCCAGACTGAGGCCCGAGGGGTCCACAGATGCCCTGGATTAGATAATAGCTAAGGCCCTTGGGAGGCATAAAAACGATGATCCTGTAGTCATAATGCCCCAGTATCCGAGACTCTTGTGATTCCCCTCCACACCGGCTCCCTCAGCTCCTGGGCCAAGTCTTTCCTCCTCCTCTCTGGGCTAGATTCAGGCTCCACCACAGTACCCTCCACCAGGGACACGGTCTCTCCTTTTGCTTCCAGACTCGACAGATAGCAGCCCCACGAAGCCCCTGCTCATTGGCATCCTGGTACTGGTCTTACTGTTCATTTTCTCCGTCCTCCTCGCCAGCTACTTCTTCAGGTAGGCGTCTTCTCTGACGTGCCTCTTCCAGCCCGTTCGGGCTTGTTTTGATATGATCTAATGAGGAAATGAGAGCGCGCATTGGCGGGGCTCTCCTCGGGGTACAGAGGATGCTCTCTGGCTGACTGAGCTGACGGCACTCTCTGCCCTCTGCCGCAGCTATGAACAGGAAGAGTTTTAGCCGGCTCACCTGGTGGGTACACTGGGTTAGAGAGAGGACGGGAGGGCTCACTCCTCCCCTGCCTCCAAGGCAGTGGCTTTGTTAACGCTCCAATGTCTTCCCCTCCCAAGGTTCAGAAGGCAAAGGAAGGCGGTGGTCAGCTCCAATGACAAGAAAATCCCCAATGGAATCTTGGAAGAGCAAGGTAAGGCGATGGGGCACTGGCCCTGGCAGGGACTGGTTTTCTGTGGTTAAAGCCAAGGCTGGGGCCCAGAGCTGGAGCCCAGGGGCAGAAGGCAATGCCTTATGCCTTGGAGGTTTCCCCTTCCTCTCTCTTACTGCTTGGACCACTCTCAGGGAGTCAAAACTCATGGCTTATACTCCCATCTCCCAGTTCTCCCCCCCTTCCCCGCCAATTTTATAACAAGTCTGTAACTTGGACGTCCAGTGCCTGAGGGGCTCAAGGCCATTCTCACGTTGTTCATTTTCCCTGGGCTTGCCAAGGACTCTCGCTCTGTCATCCTGAGATCCCGCAGGCAGCCCTTGGTGCTGACAGGCCCATTCTTGTCTTTCATTCAGCTGTCAGCGTGGGGCAGTGGCAAAACCAGGGATTTGGAGTCCAAGGTCCCGGGTGCAAACCCCAGCCCTTCTACCTGAGGCCTGGGGGACCTGGGGCAGGTCACTTCACCTCAGTTCCCTTATCTCTAAAATGAGGAGGTTCAGTAGATGGACCCCCAAGATTCCTCCTACCTACAAACCTTGGATTAAATCAGTCTTGCTTTCTCCACAGGCTATGGGGGGAGGGAAGCATCCTAATGCTGTTTTAGACTCAGCTATTCACAAGTGCTGCTCATGAAGCCACAGAGTTGGGGGTGGCCTTTTTAGTTTTTTCTTTTCTTTTTTTTAAACTCACACATTGAACATGTGAAGAACAGTTCCAGATACACTTTTAAGAGTCACAGTTTGTGCTGGTGCCGGCAACTTCCTGTAAAATGAATCTCACTTACAAAAACAAAAACAAAAAAAAAAGCCCGAATGGGAGCCCCTGGTCCAGGTGAGTGAGGCAGAAGCTTCTGCCCACCTCAGACCTATGGGACCCTCCACAGAGGAGCAGAGTGCTGAGCCACAGCCTTGAAGGCAGATACCAAGAAGGGTGGAACTCGGGAGCCAGGCAAGCCCAGCCCCGAGTGATCAGGGCATTATTGTTTCCAGAGGGACTCAACTCTTTCTGCGGGGTGTGACTCTGACTACATGTGAGGTTTCACTGAACTGAAATTGGCCCCACCGTCCTGCCCTGGGGGTTCTGTGAATCAGCCTCCCAACCAAGACGTTCACAGTAGGGATCCCAAGGCTGGCTGGGGACCAGCAAGCTTGAGCCACGGCCCATGCCTGGCTCCCTGGGGACCGCTGGCAGGGGAGGGAGGGGAGGCTGGCTCTCGGCTCTCCCCCTGACATGGCTGGCTTTGGTCCCCTGGCACTCGGCCGGGCTGATCAGGATTTTCCTTTGAATGGGCCCTATGGGCTCAGTCTGGTGGCCTGTCAGGGACCAGGCTGTGCCAGGAGACGTCTGAATGAGGTCTGTGGGGCCACCCCGACAGGGCCGTTGTCTGGAGGAGCAGTAATTAGAGGCCGACCAGTGCATGCGTATCATTGTTTAGACCTCATCCTAAGCCCCCAGACAGCCTTGGCAAGGCTGGGCCTTCACAGACAGCTCGTCCTTATCTTCCTAGCAACTACCCCTTGTAGGAATTCACCTGGAAGAAAGGGAGGGAGGGAGCAAAGAAGAGATTTCTGAAGTCCTTGACCTGTTCTGAGTCCTCACAGGCAGGGTGGTAGAAAGAAGGATAGAGGTCTAGACTGAGAGTCAGAAAGACCTGAGGTCAAATCCACCTGGGACACGTACTAGCTGTGTGACCCTGGGCAAGTCACTTAACTTGTGTTTCCCGCAGTTTGCTCATCTGTAAAATGGTGATCACAGCAGCATCTCCCTCCCAGGTGGTCATGAGCATGGAAAGACACTAGAGACATAACGTGCTTTGAAACCTTAAAGCGTTATAGAAGTGTGGTCTAGATAGAGCTGGCAGGAAGCCCACGGGTCCTAATTTACCTCCTCGTTTGGAGTACTGGATTTTGGGCTGACAGTAACTGGAATTCTTCAGCCTTCAAGTAGATGAAAAGGTTCTTTCCTTGAAGGGAATTATGGTCTTTTCTCAGTTTTCCTCCATCTACTCATTCATTCGACAAATTACCTACTGTGGGGTAGGATACTGTGGGGTCCTGTGTGCTGGATAGTCAGAACACACAAAACTCTGGAAAGACACAATCCCTGTCCTCAGGGAGTCTAGGAGAACTGAGATCTAGCCACCCTGCCCTGCGCATGAGAGGCACTTAGCTGACTCAGTTTACAAAACGGAATTCATTTGAAAAAGGGCATCCAGCATGTGGGACTTGTGTTTGGAGGCCCTGGGTTCAAATCCTGGCTCACTGCTTGCCACCTGTGTGACCTTGGGCACCCTGGGCCTCAGGAACTTCAATTTTAAGTAAAGGGTAAAAGTATATGACCCCAAGTTCCCATTGGCTCAAGCTCTGTGGTGCTCTGGTGCAGGGGCAGAGCTGACTGTTGGTGGGGCTGGTCGTCACTTGGGGGATAGCTGGGAAAAGGGAAACTAGCACATTTCCTCCTCTAGGGGTCTGCCCTTACCGCCTGGAGGGCTTCAGGCCAGGCATTTCACCTCCAAGGGGCTCTCTCAGTTTCCCCAACTGTCAAAAGAGAAGGTTGGTCCAGATGGCCTCTGAGCCCCTTCCAGGCCTGGGTCTGGGTCCGCAATGTGGTCGCCTCTTTCTTCCTGGGGTGATTTAAGTGAGGAGGGTTGAGGGAGGGTAGACTTGCCAGGTGCTGCCCCCTTGAGTCACCAGCCTTCAGAGGATCACGGGGTCTCCAGACAGAGCTTGGATTTGAACCCAGATCCTTGGAGGCCTTCTCTCTATGCTGAGGTCGGGTGTGCGGGTTCATCGCACTAAGCCCAGGCGGGGCCTGCTCTCAGCTCACGGCTCTCCTGGGCCTTCCATCCCCGCAGAGCAGCAGAGAGTCATGCTGCTGAGCCGCTCGCCCTCAGGGCCCAAGAAGTATTTCCCGTCCCCGTGGAGCACCTGGAGGACGAGATCCGTGTCCGGTCAGCGGACGATTGTAAAAGATTTCGAGAAGAGTTCAATGTAAGTTTGTCTGGTTTTTCTTCTTTCTCCCCTTGCGGATGGAACGTGTGAGGTCACATCGTAGGACCAGAAGGTCTTAGAAATCAGGAATCCCCATCCCTTCGTTTGACAGTGAATCCAACTGAAGAGAGTCAAAAAGCAGAGCCTAGATCTGAACTCGGGTCCTGTGCTCTTTGGGCCGTCACCCAGAGAGCTCTCCCCACGTCTAGGATTTAGTTCAATGCGACGTCCCCTGGGATGGTCTAAGGCGGGGGGGGGGAAGGGGGGGAGCCTGGGGCCTTCACAGAACAAGTCCCCCCAACAAAAGGATTTGGGCATAAAACTTGGACTCAGTCAAGAGGCTGCACCCGAGGACCTAGAAGGCCACACGTGGCCTCGAGGCTGCAGGTTCCTGGGGAGAAGGGAATTTTTCATTCTTCATACTTGTATCCCCAGTACCCAACAGAGCGGCCGGCAGGCACATAGTAGGTACTCAGGGCTGACTGATTCATCTAGCCTGGCCTCCTGCTGGGAAAAAGAGGGACACCCAGGCAGCTCAGAAAGGGAGGGGCATTTAGCCAGGGTCACACAGGGCGGACCTCAGAGCCAAGATTTGAACTCAGTCCTTTTCCCAACATCCCCCTGCCTCTCAGTGATCCGAAGGGCTCCCAGAGTCCACACATCCGAGTCAGGGACGCCCGTCAAAACGCCCAGTGATGGCAGAGCGACTGCTCCAATCGATGCTGGTGCTTGGGTTTGGCCCACGGCAAAGGCTTTATGTTGGCGAGACGCAGCCACCGACTCAGATCTAAATGAGGCACACAGGTGCTTCAGGGAAGCCAAGTCAGCAAGCACTTAGTAAGCACTTACTGTATGCACCACTGTGCTTGTGTCCGAGCCCTCGCTTGGATAGGAAATGGTAGACTGCAGAGTGAGCTCTGCCAGGGCCGGGCCGGCGAGGTCGGGATCTTGTGGGTGGGGCGTGGTCTCGTGCCCCTTCTGTCAGGTCTTACTCTTCAACATCAGTCCAGAAGATGGGGGGCAGGTAGCCAGGTGCACCCCTTGTTTGGAAAATTTGGAGTGCTTGCGGCTCCCTGTTATTCCAGGGGCCATTCAGCCTTCACTGCTGGTGTAAGCTGGTCTATATCACAGCCCGGTGAACGCCTACTTCTGGGACCCTCAGAATTGGGCTCCCTCTCTCTGAGGATTGCTGGTGCCTCTAAGGATCATACCTTCAGAGACGGTAGAGGCTGACAGGCCAACGTGCCCAGCCTCTTCATTTTACAGATGAGGAAACTGAGGCAAAAGGGACTTACCCAAGGCCACACTAAATGACCAGGCCTGGCTTGCAGCCGATTTCCTCTGACTGCAGGTCCAGCCAGCTCCTCCCTGCCCACCGCCCTGTCCTGTGGGCATCCATGTAAGGCAGACAAGTACATAATTCAAGATAATTTCTGGAGTGGTAGGACAGAGCTACTGTAATTGGTACAAGTAGCAAGTGAATGGTGCAGCTCTGTCTGCCTCCCCGATCACAATCACATTCGTGCTCAGCAGAACGATTACTAGAGTGGAGCAAACAGAGCTTTGCCTCGGGATGCTGAAATGTTGACGATGTTGATGACACTGACAAATTACTGAGCTGAACACTTTGTTAGCAAGATTAATTCATTTGTAAAAAAAGCTGCTAGATGGCAGGCATTCGGTTCCCAGCCCCCAGCCCCCAGCCCCAAAGGAGCAGCATTGTTGTGGCCCTGGACCTTTTCTGTCCCCCACTCTCAACTGAATTTGTCTTCGAAAGTATATTTGAGATTATGATTTAGGAGCTGTTTTCCCCAAGTGTAAAAATTTCTCACTAGACTGTGCTTGCATATAAGACATGGGAAGTAATGATAATAATAATAATTAACATTTATAGGGGGCTTACTACGTGCCAGGCACTGTGCTAAGTGCTTTTCAAGTATTATCTCCTTTGATTCTCACAGCCACCCTGGAAGGGAGGTGCTGTCATTATCCCCATTTTACAGATGAGGAAACTGAGGCAAACAAAGGTTAAGGTGACTTGTCCAGGGTCCCACAGCTGGTAAGTGTCTGAGGCTGGAATTGAATGCAGGTCTTCCTGCCCTCTAGCCTGGTCCACCACCCAACTATCTCCACGGTGTTTGGTTTTATAAACAGTAGGCACAGGATAACAGCCCAGAGTTTGAATTGATGTGCCGGGCACTGGGCTGAGCAGTTAAGATAGAGGGCAAGGCAAAGCAGCTACCTGCCCTCTGAAAGCTTCCATCCTAATGGTCGAGCCAGCACGCCCATAAAGGGGTGTGGGTACAAGGCACCCAGAGCTAATGGAAGGCAACCTTGGAGAGGCCAGTGAGAGCTCTGGAGGCAGTGGGAAAGGCCTCCGGCAGCTGAGTTTGAAGGTGGGTCTTGGAGGAAGCCAGGGACCCAAGAGATGGGAATGAGGGACAGAGCCCAGGGCTCTGCGTGGTTGGGCAGCCAGTCCCCCCCCTTCTCGTGCCTTTGCTTCTCTGAGGGGGAGGGGAAGTTTGCTTCCTTAGCTTTGCCCACGTGTGCCCCCACCTCTTTTTTTTTCTGAGGGGCTCAGTCAGATCGAAAGGAATCAGAAGGCACCATCTTCAGATGAACCCGGCTGTGGTCAGAGAAGGTTGGAGGAGGGCAGTCACCATTTCATTTCAGCAGAGTGGGCAGGGCAGCAGTCTCTGAGTCAGACTCTGATGTCAGTTCCTCCTTGCTTATCGTAAAACCCTCTCTGGACTTAATTTCCCCACCTCACAAGTGGGGACAAGCGCACTAGCAACCTCATCCACCTTCTGCGGCTTTCAAATTGACCTTCAGGAAAGAGGCCCCAGGAGGCCGCAGGGAGCGGCCCAGTATCTGGGAGGTCTGAGATCTAGCATCAGCCTGGTCACTGACTGATGTGGAACGTGGAGCAAATGACTTGACTTCCTGGGTCCTTGGAAGAAATGGATGAATGAATGAACGTTGAACTAGATCTTAGAAGTGGGGAGAGCTCTCTGGGTGACAGCCCAAACCAGACCCTGCCATGTGACTGACGTAAGAAGGGAAGAGATTAGCGCAGTGGATGGAGTATGTAGGTCACAGTCTGCAGATCAGGGCCAAGAAACCCCACACAAGCTTGACATCTTCTTCTGGCCATCTTGTCTGGGGTGGGCCCAGACACAGAGAAGGCCGCACTCAGGAAGTGGGGAGCCTCCTCAGACATGGAGCATTCCGGCCGATTCGTCCTCTTGTGGGCCTCAGTTTCCCCATCTCTAAAACCAGGCAGTTGGGCTACGGGACCTATAAAGTCTGTTCCCGCTTTAGAACCCATATGTATCTCCATCAGTTTTTATCCTCACATCCTTGGGAAGCTCTCTGTCTGTCTGTCTCTCTCTCTCTCTCTCTGGCTGCCTCTCTGTTTCTGTCTATATCTCTTTCTGTCTGTCTCTGACTCTCTTTGTCTCTGTGTGTGTCTCTCTCTGTCTCTGGGTCTCTATCTTTGTGTATCCCTCTCTGTCTCTGTCTCTCTCTCTGAATTTCTGTCTCTGTACATCTCTCTCTGTCTCTGGGTCTCTCCTCTGTCTCTCTCTGTTTCTGCCTCTGACTCTCTCTCCCCCTCCCACCTGCCAGGGTCTGCCGCAATCACCCCTGTCCCTGTTGGGAGTTCAGAGTGTGAGCTCTTGGTCTGAGAGGCTTCCTCTTCCCTGAGAGCTGTTACAGAGCCCTGGTGGCACCTGGCCTGGGAGGGTTAGGCGGGCCTGTGTGGCCATGTGGGCAGCGCTGCCCCAAGAGCTAGGGCACTGGGCTCTGCGATCATAGACGGGACCTCAGAGCCCAATCTCCTCCTCATTTAGAGAGGAGAAGACCCCAGTCCAGAGTCCCGGCCCACCCTCATGGCCCAGATGCTAATGTCATCCCCTTCTCCTCCTGAAATGATTTTGAATTTGTTACATGTGTGTATTTATGTGTTTGTCTGCCGTTTCCTCCCAGTATAGTGTGCAGCCTTTGAGGAAAAGATTGTTACCACATTCTACCCCTAGTGCCTAGCCTGGTGTCTGGCACACATTAGCCTTCTGATAAATGCTTCATGAACAAAGGAATGAATGAATGAATGAATGTATGAATGAATGAATGAATGAATGAATGAATGAGGGATTTGCCCAAGGCCCCACAACTGGGAAGTGGAAAAGTCTGGCTTCTGTTAGTTCTGGGGGCTTTATCCACTCTACCGCACGGTCTGCCTAATCATGACTGATTCACTGTGTGACCTCTCTGGGACTCGGTTTCCTCATCTGTAAAAATGGGATGGGGTGGGACAGTGATGAGCCACACAGATCCTGGAGGTTCCTGGTGGGAATGACAAAGCAGGTGAACAGGGCAGCATTCTTCAGAGAGTGGGGTTTTCTGAAGTCTTAATGGCTTGACAAGAAACCTGATTCAGCCGTCTGTGAACTCAAGGCAATTCCATGTTAACTTTATGCTTTTTCTCCAGTCTTTACCTTCGGGACATATCCAAGGAACATTCGAAATGGCCAATAAAGAAGAAAACAGAGAAAAGAACAGATACCCCAACATCCTCCCCAGTAAGACTTTCAGCTTTTTTCCCCCTCTTCTGCATATGTGATGCGGTCATGGAGCCCATCACTTCCCCTGTGGTTGCTTCCCTCTTCCCTGCCCCCCCACTCCGGGCTGGACAATCAGTAGGAGTGACATCTGCCATGTACAGATAACAGTTATCACAGTGAGCGAGCTCATCTTCCGGGCATCTGTGGCTGGGGGGGCCTCTGGGCTGAAGCCCCTGCCCTGATGCTGGCATGGTGACCCAGCTGGCCACCAAGAAGCTTGTCCTGGGTCAGCTTCAGGAGGCCACCTCTGGAGGGCCAGGGGTGCCCTCAGCCCTGCCAGGAAGGCCTCTCCTCTGGCCTCTCTTGACCCAGAGTTATGGACAGCAAAGGAGAGATGGAAGCTGACAGGGAGGACAGAGGGTGTTTTTCAAATGCCCAAAATAAAATTCAAAGGATTTCAAAGGAAAGAAATTATGTTGAAATCAACACGCAGTTTTTTTTCCATCCAAGTCCATAGACCCCCTGAAATCTGTCCCCAGCCCTTGGACCCCAGCTTAGGAGCCCTCACCTGTGGGAATCCCTACCAAGGTGGGGAAGAAAGGAACCGCTTATCCCTTAGGGAGTGACTTCATATGGGCTCAGGGAGACCCAGGCAGAGCTTCAGGGATGGATGGATGCTGTGTGACCTTCCAGAGTACTGGGCTGTCTGGGAATACATCCACCTTTAGTAATGAAGGCAATGATCACCAACATTCCTGTAGTATTTCGAGGCTGGCAAGATACTTCACATACATATCTCCTCTGGTCCTAACAAAAACCTTTGGGAGGACTATTATCCTCTTTACAGATGAGGAAACTGAGTCTCAGAAAGGCTCAGGAAGAAAGTGATTTGCCCAGGGCCACGCTGCTGCCTTCAGTGGGCGGCCGTGAATACTGCAGACATCCTACATCCATGTGCAGTTTGACTAAAGCCCCAGACCCTCTGTGATCTGATCACAGCTTTCTACATTAAACATCTGGATGGTTTATTTACATGGAACCAAACATCCAGATATTTGAAAGTAAAAGCCAAGGCCCATCCCAGAGAATTCTCCAGGGTCACCCCAGGTTCATCTGCTGGGGGTCTTGGCTGTGGGCAGCCTGCTCCTGCACTGTCAGATGGCCATTCTCAGGGTCTCAGATTCAAGTGCCACCTTGATGCCTGACTAAGCTTTTCTTGCCTTCTGGCTGCTTGGCATCATGGTGTAGACATACCCTTCGGCTGCCATTGAAGGCAGTGTTGCAGTTGGCCCACAAGGTCTCCTCTCCCATTCCGAGTGTCTGCCACAGCCTGGGCATGGCACCAATGTCCTGTGATAGATACCGAGCATCATTAGGGGGCAAAAAGGTGGTTCTTCCCGGGCCTCTGGGAAGGCAGCACCCCCTCAGCCGGGCCCTTGCCCTCCACAGTCTCCAGAGCTGTGGAGAAAGGAAAAGGGAAATATCACCAACATCTTGGGTCCAGGCACACACCTCTCCTCCCCTGGTCCTGCCCTCCCTCTAGCTCCCAGGTACCTGCAGGTCCTCTCAGAGCATGGGGGCAGGAGGGAGGGAAGGGGAGGCTTCTGGGAAGAGCTGCCCCTAGGGATTGAGGTTAGCTGTAGGCCTCTGGGTCAAAGGCTGGAGCTGAATTTGCTATCCCGGCCACCTCCCCCTGTTTCCAGAGCCCACGTGCCCCCCTGGGGAATTTCCAAGTCCAGATTGCAAAGCTGTCATCCTAGAAGTCTTCACCGCTTCACCCAGAGCCTCACTGAGGCATCCGTACTTAGGCACAGGCTGACCTGGATGGACTCAGGAAGGCCTGCCAAGTTCAAACCATTGGATCAACAAGAGAAATCTTTCTGAGTATTAATGTGTTGGCCTTTCCCACTTCCTTCAGGCCTCATAAGCTGCCTCATGCATTTCAAGCCAGCCCCCACTGAGCATATACTATGTGAAAGGCCTTGGACTCTGGCAAATGAGGGGCTGCCCTCATGGAGTTTAAAGTCCAAGGGCAGACCTGCACGAGTTCATTCACCTGTCAGTATAATTAGAAGTGGAATGTAATAGGGACAAAGGAGAGATCCAAAGTTTTGTCCACCCAGAAACCACGTCTTTTAGAGTCGGGGGTGAGAGGCTCTCACTGGCTCAGGGTTAATTTGCAGAAAAAACCATTTATCTTAGATCTCCTGAACCTTCCAGTGTCCTGTAGCCCCCAGGGAATGTATCATTTTCTGGACTTTAAGAGTACAGAGCAATCCCTGATTCAGGACATCCCAGCCCAGCACCTAGAAATGGAGAAGCGTCTTTAGGGAGATGGCTGGGTGGGCCCAGCCCACTCGAATGGGTCTTCCAATGAGGCTGCAGACTGTTCCTTGAGGCAGCAGGGCTGACACCAGCTCGATGTGGCTTTGGGGGTACCCTTCTGCTGGCACCCCCTTTCTTTCCTTCCAGATGACCACTCCAGGGTGATTCTCAGCCAAGTGGATGGAATTCCATGCTCAGACTACATCAATGCTTCATACATAGACGTAAGCCAAGGGTTTTCTCCTCAAGCAATGCTACTAAAATACCTGTTTTTAGGTAAATCATGACTGGCAGTGTGCCTTAGTGGGTAGAGACTTAGCTTCAGAGTCAGGAAGACACCTGGGTTCAAATGGTTCCTCCCGGGTCAAGTCATTTAGTCTCTCAGTGGCCCCAAGCAGGTCTCTGGGATAACAATAAACACAGAGAGAAGATTGGGGCCTGCTCTGGGAGAGGGGATTGTTTTCACCTGGGAGCTCTGTAGACTAATGAAATCGAGGCGGGGCCAATCTCAAGCCCTTCCTGACTGTCACTGAAACCACTGCAGGGAATCACAAATACCATCTTCCTTCTGCAGGGTTACAAAGAGAAGAATAAATTCATCGCTGCTCAAGGTAAAGTGTTTTACCCAGCTCATTTCTGCCCCTTTGCTTCCTTCTCATTTGTGTGGGAGATGATTGAAGGCAGCAGCAGGGCTGAGGTTTGTGTTAACCTGTCCTCCATAGCAGCCTGGGCCACCCTCTGCACAGGTGGGTTCAGCATGTGTAGCCAGCACCCCTTCCTCATGCTAGGACCCTTTCTCCCTGACCTCACTCCCAGATAACCAAGGCTGTTAGAGCCGAGGCTCAGCCCTCTCCCAGGGTCCATTTGTCCAACTAACCAGCAGAGTGCTTCAGTCAATGAATGGACTGAAATCCATGAACACAGTGCCCACCATATAGTCATGGCTTAATAAATGCTAGTAGCCCCGCCTGACCCGACACCCTGTTGTCCAGCTTAGCAGAAGAGAGCTCTCTCCCTGTGCTCCTCAGAGCTGGTGGTGAGCACACATCTGTGGACGGCCTCAGGCTGCCTGGGGGCCAGTCCTGCAGCCAGCCATTTGACTGTGGCCCTCTCTGTCATCTGCAGGCCCCAAACAGGAGACGGTCAATGACTTCTGGAGGATGGTCTGGGAGCAGAAGTCGGCGACCATTGTCATGCTGACCAACTTGAAAGAAAGAAAAGAGGTAAGGGGGACATCTTATGAAGGGCCGCCCCTGCGGCCTTGGGATGCCTGCTCTAACCACTTCCTTTTCCTACCTTCCTCCTCCCCACCGCAGCAGCCCAGAGGTTCAGGGGCTTGCAGCATTCTCATCTCAAAGTCAAACCTCGGATGACTAAGGCAGTTCGTTTATTTTCCGTCTTACTCTGTGGACAGCTCTGAGCTACTCATAATTGAAAAATCTTGCAATGCCTCATCTGACTTGAGTGGTTTTTTCCAACTGGAGTCACCCAGTAAGTGGGAGCCATGCAAAGTGCTAACTCTGAAGAATATGGGCAAGAGGTGGGCCTGGTGATGGAGGCGGGGAAATGGATGGGGCCCTGGTGGCAAGAGTGAGAAGGATGAAGCTCTTTGTAACCAGACTCAAGAGGTGGTTGATAAAGGGCAGATAGAGGGCTCCCATACACTTGAAAAGAAAGTCTTCACCTCCAGCCCAGGTCTTGGGCTCAGAGACTCCACAGAAATGACCCTCACAAAGAGGAGGACAGTGTCAGAGGAAAGGGGGCGTGGTCAGGAGATGATGCACACAGGGAAAGAGGCAGGTGAGGGGTCCCAGCATCCCATGCCTTTGGGCCAGAAGGGACCTGGGTATGTGGAGCAGAGGAGCTCAAGGCCCTCATTTTATAGAGAAGGAAACTGAGGCCCAGAAAGGAAAAGGGGCTGGCCTCTGGTCACCCAGGGAGTAGAAGAGCCAGATTCCAAAGCCAGGTGTTCTGACATCAGTCCCAGGACTCTGTTCCATGCTGAGCCACTGATCTCTGCCTGGCTACTTTTAGGGGAGACATCAGTCAGTCAGGTAGCATTTATGATTAAGCACCTACTATGTGCCAGGCTTAACTGTGTTAAGCCCAGAGGATACAAAGAAAGGAAAAAAATAAACAGTCCCTGCCCTGAAGGAAGGAAACAAAACAGCATTGATTAAGCCCCTACTCTGTGCCAGGCTAAGCTTTTACAAGTATTATCTCAGCTGATCCTTACCATAGTCCTGCAAAATAAGTGCTATTTATTATGAAGCCTATTTTAGGATTGAGGAAACTGAGGAAGACAGAGTTTAGGTGACTTGCCCAGGGTCACAGAGCTAGGGAGTGTCTGAGGCTGGATTTGAACTCATGTCTTTCTGACCCCAGGCCCAGCACTTGGTTGGCTGTGGCTGCCCCCGAAGCCTCTGGCATATAGCCTCATGGGGAGAGAACATTCAGACACCTGTGTGCAAAGAAGAGAGAAACAGTGAATTGCAGATAAGTGAGAAAGGATAGGCCCCAAGATGGAGGAGGACCGGGAAGGCGCAGCAGAAGGTGGGCTTCTGTGGTTTCCTTCCTTGGTGTTAAGGCCCAGTGACCCTGAGCCTAAGACAAACTTTCTTGAAGGTGGCTTTTTAATTCCCTCCTGCATCGCACGGTACAGAGGCTAGCCCACAGGTGTTGGGGCCTATTCCTTCTCAGATGCACCACCAGCCCTTGGCAACCCCAGCCCCTGCCTCTCCCATCTCTCCCGAGTCCTCAATGCCAACTCCTTGTCCAGTGGGGATCAGAGCCATCAAGATGCTGTGGAGCAGCAGGAAGGCCCATGGGGAGTACGTGGAGCTCCATCCGCTCTCCCTGGGATCTGGCAGCACCCTCCCATTGGTGGGTGCTGTCTCCCCCTCTAAAACTCCAAATGTCTGGAGGTTGGGGCCATCTTTTCTTCTCTTCTTATATCCCCAGTCCCGAGCCCTTGATAAATGTTTCTTCAGTTGGTCATTCAGTGCTGCCCTCAAGAAGCTTACATCTCAATATACTTGTGAAGCACATAGTCAGTCTTAACATATACTAAGTGCCTACTATGTGCTAGGCAATTCGGCATACAAAGAGGAGCTGCCAGTCCAGTGGGGAAGACAACAGGCCAGCAGCTGGGCCCAAGCAAGGCGTAGGAAGGATCCCTCGGATGAGCAGAGGGAAGGCCTCAGAGCCAAGGGGATCTGGCCATTCCCAGCAGCACCCACCAGAAAGGAGGCTTAGGAAAGAGCCCAGAATTAGAGCTTGGAGCACCCAAGGCCGCTTGCCTGACTGCCTCATTTTGTCAGCAGGCTTTTCTAAGGTCCCTCCTCAATGAGCTGCCCCTCAGAACTCTCAAATGACTGGAAATATTGATTAACTGAAGCCTCTGCACTTCCATCATGCCCCCTTACTGCTACAGAGAAAGAAGATTCTGATTTGGAGCCTCCTAGTAGACTCTGATGGGACCAGGGGCACCTTCATCCCATCCTTGGGGAAGAATGAGGGAGCCCAGGGGGTTTGGAGACCTTCCCTCCTCCCGAGTGCCTCTGGGGCACTCTGTCCCAGCCCATGCCCTGACTCACCCTGCCCTGCCCTCTCTCTCTTACTGAGATTAATCATTTCTAACCAAGTCCTTCCTCAATCGAGTTCCTGTTTCCTGATTTGAAGAGGCTTTTTTGGGGCTCTCAGCTGTCCACCCACCAGGACCAAGGTTGTGAAATCCTGCCCCTTCAGTCAAAAAAAAGGAGGCACCTTGGTGAAATAAGATTGTTCGGCACGTGAGCTTAGCGCTCCCCCACAACACCCCTTCACCGGCCAGGTTGCATTTCCTGAAAAATCATGACTGTCCAAGGTCTTCATTTCCTTAATCCAAAATGCTGCGTCCCAGGTAGGAGGAACAAGGCCTTCTCCCCCAGTCTGTCCTGAGGTGCTCACAGAGCCATAGGAGGGTCGGGGAGGCCGGGTGATTCTCTGCTGGCCAAACCATGAAAGTGAGAGCACCCAGGTTGGTCATGTACTACATGTGTGTCCTTGCACAAGTCACATGATGTCCCTCGGCCTCAGTTTCCTCATTTGTAAAATAAGGAGGTTGGACTGGGTAGTGTCTGGGGTCTCTTTCAGATGAGCCTGGAGGAGGGTGCGGGGGAGCCTGTCCTGGCCGTGGGGATGAATGCAGGTGCCTCTCTGCCTCTCTGTCTCTGCCACACACACACACACACACACACACACACACACACACACACACATCCACATACACATGCACACAGACTCACACACATACATGTGTGCATACATACACATGCATATACACATAGATAGACTCACCCACGTACACACGCACGCACGTGCAAACACACACACAGAACACTGCTGCCTCTCTGACCAGGTACGAATTCCTCTGCCCTTAGAAGCCTCCGCCCCTCAGCCTCCACCTGTATTGTCAGCCTCTCTGTGCGTCCTCCCTGCCATCCCTCCCTTTATCTGTTCTGTTCTTGTTCCGCAGCATATGGACATGGGCATGCTTGTTGTCTTCCCTGGTGAGGAAACAGCAGTGCCTTTTGTTCCTCGTTAAGAGGCAGCGGGGTGATGCAGTGGAGTCAGGAAGACCTGAGTTCAAATTCAGCCTCATGTACTTACTAGCTGTGTGACCCTGGGCAAGTCACTTTACCTCTGTCTCCCTCAGTTTCCTTGTCTGTAAAATGGGGGCAATAATAGCCCTTCCTCCCAGGGCAGCTGTGAGGAGCAGATGAGATAATAATGAAGACATGCTTAGCACAGGGCCCAGCACGCAGTGCTACATGGATATGGGCTATGGTATGATACGCGCTAGCACATGGATACACGGCGCTGCATAAATATTGCTGGTAAATAGCCGTGTCTTCTTCAAGCCGTCTTCTGTCATCCCACCATCCATGCAGGCGAGGCTCCCAGCCACATTGGGTTCTCCTGCCTGGCAAGACAGCTTAACCCCCACCCCCACCTCGTGATTGGTGTTGCTATTTCCAACCAATCCAGGTCATGCTGGGCTCCCCCAGGCCACACTGTCTTATTTATCTGCTCTCAGTTACTGGTCCTTGTTCCCCATAGAATAGTAGGTGGGGGGGTGGCCGGCAGGGAAAGAATGCTGGGCTTGGTGTCAAGATGAAGGCCAGGGCAGGGCTCGAGTCTGGCTATGTGACCCTGGGCAAGTTCCTTAGCCTCTATGTCCTCTTCTATAAAATGGGTGTAGTCGTACCCAGAGGAGTTACATCACAGCTTGTGTCTGTAAAGTGCTATGAACTCCTTCGGGCGCCATGCCAATGCCGGCCCATCATTATTTGGCCTTCTCCATAAGGTTATTTTAAAGGGAGATGAGCTCCCCGCGGGGCCACATTGGCCTCTTCTTTCGGCCCCCTCTTCTACGTCTGCACTGGAATCACTTCTTCTGGGGTCTTTGGAATTTCATTCTCAGGACCTTCCCAGGCCTGTGGGACTGGCTTCTCCTGAAGCATTCTCCCATTGGATCCTTCCTGCCCTTTTTCAATATCCAGTGCAATCTACTTTCTAAAAACCAAACTGAGGTGGGGGAGGGCACCTTGATTCAATAGAAAGAGCCAGCAAGACCCAGGGAACTTGTCTGTAATGACCAAGACTGCGTGTGGTCAGAGCCCAGGCCAGGGAGAGACAGCTGATCTTCTGTGATCACCATCTCTGGTTGGGTTGCTAGGATGAGTGAGAGGCTGAACCGCAGTCTTAGGTAAGGCCGCCATGTCAAGAGCCTGTCCTTGGGACCCAGGCTCCTGGACTCAGAGGAGACCCAGAATCTGAGCACCAAAGGAGATGCCTCCTGTCCATGGAAAGAGACTCTGTGTGCACAGATGTAGTAGGTGTGACCAGCCGGTGACTGGTCAGCTCAGGTCTCATGGCCCAGGAAAGTGAAAGAAAGATATTTTCCTGTGTGAGGCACAGAGTCGGAAGTTGGAGCTCTGTGTGCAAGGAGGAGCAGCCAGAAGGCCCGAGTCCCTGGCTTGCAGGGTTTGTGGAGGGGACCGACAGCTCAGAAGGGAACGAAGGACATTAGGCAGCCCGGTTAGGGAGGTGTCGATGTGGCGTCCTCAGTAAAACTCCCTGTGACTACTGCTGGTGCTTCTTGGTTTTATACCTCACTTGGAATAAAGATCATATCTGTGCCTAGAAAAAGGGGCCATTTTCTAAGCGATACGTGCTAGAAACAACCACTGCTGCAGAGATTCAGACAACAAAGACACCCCTTCTGCTTGGGGGAGTCTGCAGGCCCCCAGTCCGGGCTGGAATCCCCACCTGCTGCTTCAACAATTCACTAACATCTCCTTCAACCCAGCAGTTGTTTTTAAATTATATTTTTATTTCAATAATTATTTCCCCCATTGTATTAAAAAAATTTTAATATTGATTTTTTAAAAGTTTTGAGTTCCAAATTCCCTCCCTTCCCTACCCTTTGAGAAGGCAAGCAGTGTGTTATCAATTATACATGTGAAGTCTCACAAAGCGTATTTCCATATTAGCAATATTGCAAAAGAAAACACACACACACACACACACACACAAAGAAATAAAGTGAAAAAAATTATGCTTCAATCTCCAGCAGTTATTTTTTTTTTGTGTATTTGTTTGGCTTTTTTTTTTTTTTGGTGAGGCAGTCAGGGTTAAGTGATTTGCCCAGGGTCACACAGCTAGTAAGTGTCAAGTGTCTGAAGCCAGATTTGAACTCAGGTCCTCCTGACTCCAAGGCCAGAGCTCTATCCACTGTGCCACCTAGCTGCCTCCTCCAGCAGTTATTTTTTAAAGCACATACTGTGTGCAAGGCCTTGAGCTGGGATGTGGGCATATAAAGTCAGAATCTCTTACCAAGGGGATGCTCAACTTATACAATGACATAAATATGCCATGACTGAGGGGGGAGGAATCAGGGTGGGCTTCTTGTAGGAGGCAGCCCCTGTGCTGAGGGGAGATAAAGTGATAGACGACAGAGATGTTGAGGCACTTGCTTGAGTAGGAGGGGTTTAGGGAGAGGACTGAGTATGGTCTTGGCCAGATTATTTCCCCTCCCTACCCCTCAGCCTCCTCCTCTGAAATGAGAAGGCTGGACCAGGCCGTTTCCAAGGTCCCTTTCAGGATTAAATTCTACAACCATCGGGCAATAGGCTGGTACAAGTCCTTCTTTTGATTGAGAAATTACTCACTGTGAGTATTCCCGAAGAAAAAGCTGGAATGCTGCCATGTTCTCAGCGCTCACATTTCAGAAAGACTTTGATGAGATTTCTCTCTGTTTACGCCTCTGTACATATGTGTAGTGTGTGAGTGTGTGTATGTGAGTGTGTATGTGTGTGTGAATGTGAGTGTATGTGTGTGTGTGGGGGGGTGTGCAGGCAGAAGCCACCAAACTGCTAACCTCTCCTCTCCCATTCTTCCAGGAGAAATGCCATCAGTACTGGCCAGACCAGGGATGCTGGATGTATGGGAACATTCGTGTCTCTGTGGAAGACTGCATCGTCCTGGTGGACTACACCATTCGGAAGTTCTGTATACAGTCGGTGAGTGTTGTCTGCAGCTGGGCCTCTCCAGGGCTGGCTCTGTAATCGAAGGAAGCCTCGATGCCAGGGATTTCCTCCGTAGAAACCTAGGATCAAGGGCTGTTTAGGACAAATTCTTGCCCTCAGAGTTATAATCAGAGGCTGAAGCCTGTTCCATTCTTGCGTCTGCTTTTCCTCCTCTTTCTGTCTCCTTCTTCCCTGCCAGGCTGTCCGTTTGCCTCTATCCCTACCAATTTCCCCTCCTGCTTTTTCTGGCCCGTCATTGGTGGGGAATCCAGATCACCAGGCTCGTCAGCATTGCTCAGAATAGGAACGAGGGAGCCTGAGGACTTTGCCAAGTGTCCCTGGGCTCAGTTCCCCCATCTAGAACATGAGGGTGTCTGCTGAGGTCTCTTTTGGCTCCAAACTCAGGATGCTAGCTCAAGGAGCAGATGTGACAGGCCACTCTCTTGATTCCCACATCCAGTGGGAAATTTGGTCCAGGAGTAATCACTCGTTGAGTCAACAAGCATTTCTTCAGTGCCTGGTGTGTTCCAGGCACTACGGATCATGACGATAGCTGTTACTTATGGGATGCCTTATAATTGGCCAAGTGCTTTAATTGCATCATTTTAATGGAGTATTGCAACAATGCTGTGGGTTGGGCACCAAAGGTATTATTATTCCCAATTTACAGATGAGAAACCTGAGGCTCAAACAAATCAAGGGACTTTGAACCCTGGACACACACCTAATCAGTGTCTGTGGGAGCTAAACCTGTATATTCCTACCTTTGAGTGAGACAGGGATTCCATGGGGGCCAGGAGTTCACCAAGGGCAGCACTAAGGGGAAGCAGGCAGAATTTCCAGCTGCCTGTGAGTGCCAGGGCCGCCGCCGCCACCCGCTAGGCTCACCCTCGGTTTCTTGTCTTCTCAGCAGCTCCATGATGGCTGCAAAGCCCCACGGCTGGTGACCCAGCTCCACTTCACCAGCTGGCCCGACTTTGGGGTGCCCTTCACCCCCATTGGGATGCTGAAGTTTCTGAAAAAAGTGAAGACCCTGAATCCCTCCCACGCAGGGCCCATCATTGTTCACTGCAGGTATGACCCGAGTCTCAGAGCCGTCAGCCACTGGTGCTGACATCAGGTGTGGGTGACATTCCTGCCCCATCAGCTCTTTTACAGAAATAAGGCCAGGACAGACCCGGAGCCCCAGAGGTCATTTCCAAAATGGAATTTATATTTGTTAAAAGCTGATGCAGAGGCTCATAGCGCCTTAGAACCAGAAGGAACCTTGGAGGTCATTTAGGACACACTGTTTTCTACAAATGAGGAAAGTAAGGCCAGCATGGTTTGCCAAAAATCAGATAGCTAAAAAGCGGCAGAGCCAGGACCTGGAGGAAAGCCCTCTGTAAGCTTTAGGGTGCTGTGGAAATAGGAGTTTGTAGCATCATCTTCATTATGGATACTGGTTTAATTTTCTTTCTCTGTTTTGACTCTCCCTGGATTTGGAATCAAGTCTGTATTTCTATCATAGTAGGAATTTGGTATTGCTCCTTTTCCTATTTTTGCCAACAGTTTATATATTAATATTCTTTAATATGTATGTTTATAACATATTTGTTTATATATTTTTATAATATAATGTTCTTTAAATTATAATTTATGGGGTTTTTTCCCCTTTGAGAGAAAATTTATGGAGTGTTTTATTTTCTGTAAGATTGGGTTAAGTCCTTTGTTTCCTGCTCTGTTCATCTGGGCTTTTATATTTCAGTAGATATTTATCCATCATTTAAGTTGTCAATTTTCTTGGCATTAAATCCAGTGAAATAAGTTCTAACAGTTTTATTTATTTCTTCTTTGTTAGCTGTGAATTCAGCTTTTTCAGTTTTGTTTCTGATCGTTTGGTTTTCTTCTTTCTTTTCTTAGATCAAATCAGCTAATGATTTATCAACTTTTATTTTAAAAAATAGTTCTTGGTTTCACTTCTTAATTTAGTGTTTTTTTGCTCTTATTATTAATTTCTTCTTTGACTTTCAGTATTTTTATTTCAGTGTTTAATTGGACTTTAAAATTTTGTAGGCTTTCTGATGCTTTCATTTGCATTGACCTAATGGTTGATGGGCTCTTTCTCTCTTTTACTGATTTAAGTATTTAAAAACTATAGAGGAAGTGAGGTGAGGCAGCAGATAGAGTGCTGGCTATGGAGTCAAGAAGACCTGAATTCAAATCTGGTTTCAGATCCCGTGACCATGTCACTTAGTTTCCTCAACTGTAAAAATGGAGGTAATAGCATCTATCTCACAGGGTTGTTGTGAAAATCAAATGAGATTATGTTTGTAAAGTACTCCACACAATGCCTGGCATATAGTAGATACTTAATAAATGCTTCTTCCATTATCAGATTTTTTTTTAAACCTGGAGAAGATATTAGAGGGACTTCAGTCCTATTATCCCCTCATTTACATACGAGTAAACTGAGGCGTGGAGAGATGAGATGACTTGCCCACATTCCCCCGACAGTAAAGACTAGAGGTGAAATTCAAACCCAGCCCTCCTAACTCTCAGTCCAAAGCTCCAGTTTCCCTAATACCACAGTGCCAATCGATACCATTCATGACATCTTGGAATACCTGTGATTTTCTTGAATACTTAAATTCTTGCCTTTTGGCTACAGAATAAACCAGGGATAGCCTGGGGTAATGGAAAGACCATAGCCAGGAGAAACCTGAGTTGAACTCCAGCCTCTGACATTTAGTAATTGTGTGACCTTGGCCAAGTCAGTCCCTCTCTGAGACTCAGTCTTCTCATCTGTAAAAGGGGGTATAATGTTAGCACCTACCTCTTAGGGCTGTTCTGAGGCTCCAATGAGATGACATGGGTGGGTTCTACAAAGATGTCAGCTGTTGTAACCTCCTTCCCTGCCTTCCCCGATTCCACCCCCGTGCCCCATTTTAACTAACAATTAAGCATTCCATCTTAATGACAGCTTCCTGTAAAAAGCTGTGCCATGGTTGGCAGGGAAGCTCAGGAGGGAAAATCTGTAACCGTGTTACTACCAAAATGGGAGAGATAAGGTGAATGTCCCATAGTCCAGGACTGTTTTTCCTGGGGATTAGCCAGAAAGGCCACTGGTCACTGTTCTCAGCTTTTTGTCCTGAGGTGATTTTAAAAGGTTGGTTTGGGGGCTTCAGCTCTGTTTCTCATGTAGCATGAGCAAACAAGTCAAGGGACCATGTTAATAGGAGGACTCAGATCCTTGCTGAGGGACTGTATTTATTATTTATAAATTGGGTTTCAGCTGGACTCAGGCAGTGGATATAAAGCATTTTGTAAGTTTTAACGTAGTACAAAAGTCTAAGCTATTACTCTGATTGTTGTGATAAATATAATGTATTGAATAATGACCACCTCTCTGCCTTTCATATGCCACCTCGAATTCTTGGAATGTAAGTCCCCCTCATGTCTGCCTCTTAGATCCCTTATTTCCTTCAAAGCCCAATGCACATGCTGGGTCCTACACAAGAGCTTTTCCTGACTGGCCTCAGGTGCCCTTTCCTACTCTCATGGCCTCAGGCCTCTCCCACCTCCCCCCACCTGTTGTAAAACTTTTCTTCCATCAGGACTCAGTCAGGTACAAGAAGCCTGCCTGCCAGCCCCATCACCCCCCACTGGGCTTGTTTCCTCTCTCCTCAAGTGTTCCTAGGGGCAGAGCACCAGCCCTGGAGTCAGGAGAATCTGAGTTCAAATCCAGCCTTAGACACTTGACATTTACTAGCTGTATGATCCTGGGCAAGTCACTTAGCCCTGATTGCCTTGACAACAAAAAAAAAAGTGACTTTATCCTCAAATATTCCTCCTCTTGCTAGCCTTTTAATTAAAAAAAATGCCTAAACCCCTCCTATGTGCCAGGTACTCTGCTAGGGATTGGAGATAGAAAGACAAAACTGAGATGCTTCCTGCCATCAAGGACCTTATATTTTATTGAGGGAAAAAGCTCATGGCACAAAGATGTGAATATACAAGGTACTGGTAGAAGAATTGGGGGCAGGGTCTCTAGCAAGTGAGGGAGTCAGGAAGGGCCTTGTGTTGGACCTGACGTGCACTGAGCTTTAAATAAATTCAAAATCTAAGAGGTGAAGATGGGGAGGTGAGCATTCTGGCATGAGGAAGCAGCTGTGCGAAGGCAGGAAACTAGAAGGTTATTTGTGCAGGAGAGCAAGTGTAGAGTGTGTGAAGGAGGATGTTTGATAACCCAAGAAAGGAGGCCAAAGCCCGGCTGTGAAGAGTTTAATCACAGAGGCAATGGGCAGTCAGAGCAGGAGAGTGATGTTTTCTGAGTTGGGCTTTAGGAAGATCGATCGGGCATCAGTCCTGTGGAGGATGGACTGAAGTGGAAAGAAGTTGGAGCCCGCATCCTATTGCCATAGTCCAGATGTGAGGTGATGAGGACCAGTATGAGGGTGGGGATAGTGTCAGAGGAGAAAAGGGGGAGTAGTCAAAAGATGTTGCAGGGGTTGAAATCAACCAGAGATGCTGCAGAAGTGAAATCACCCAGAGATGTTGCAGAGGTGAAATCTACCAGAGATGCTACATAGGTGAAATCTATCAGAGATGCTGTCAGGGGTGAAATCTCACTAGTCTTGACTTGTGAGAGACAGCAAGGAATCTGGAATGATTCCTAGGTTGGGAGGGACTGGGGAAGGTGATACCCTCCACAGTAGTAGGGAAGATAGGGGAGGGGCTAAAGGGGAAGGATAATGAGTTCTGTTTTGAACATGTTGAGTTTAAGATGTCTGCTGGACATCTACTTAGTGGTGTCTGAAAGGCAGTTGGAGATTTGGAGGCTGGCAAGAGACATGGGGCAGGAGAGGTAGTTTTGAGAATTATCAGTATAGAGATGGTAATTAAATCCATGGGAGCTGGTGAGATCACCAAGTGGAGTGTTATTTAGGGAGAAGAGAAGAGGGCCCAGAACAGAGCCTGAGGGACACCCAAGTTTAGAGGGCATGATCTGGAGAAGGATCCAGCCAAGGAGACAGAAGAAGCCATCAGAGAGGTAGGAGGAGAACTAGAAGGAGAGGGGGAGTCCCAAAAACCTAGAGAGAAGAGAATATCAAGGAGGCAAGGATAATCTACAATATCAAAGCCTACAGAGAAGTCAAGAAGGATGAGTATTAAGAAAAGGCCATTGGACTTGACAGTTAGGAGCTCACTAGTAACTTTGGAGAGAACAGCTTCAGTAAAATAATGAAGTTGGAAGCCATAAGAAGAGAATGAGAAGGGAGAAAATGTTGGCCCCTATTGTAGATGGCCTTCTAAGGAAGTTTAGCTACAAAGGGTAGTAGAGAAATAAGATACAAGTTAGCAGGGATGGAAAGCTCGAATGAGAGTTTTTTGAGGATGGGGAAGACAGGAGATGTTTGTAGGCAGTAGGAAATGAGCCAGCAGCGAGGGAGGGATTGAAAATCAGTAAAAGAGGTGGGTATGGCAGAGGGGGCAATCTGTTAGAGGAGATGGGATGGAATGGGATCACTTGAGCAGGTAGAAGGGTTAGCCTTGGCAAGGAGTGAGGCCAGCTCATCATGTGAGACAGGGCTGAAGGAAAGAAGGGCAGAAGGCACCTGAGTGATGAGAGATGAGGAGGAGGAGAGCTCAAAATTAGATTAATTTTTTTTCAGTAAAATATGAGGCAACGTTCTAAGCTGAAAGGGTTGAGGGAGGGGAACCAGGAAAGTTTTGAGTAGAAACAAGAAGGTTTGCACGAGCCTAGGTGGAGAGTAAGAGATAAAGGAAGCATGGAAAGATTTCCTGGCAGCAGTGAGGGCCCAGTTGAGGTTATATAACATAAATTTGTAGTGGACCCAATCAGAATGGTTACATGATTTTCTCCATCTTCATTCATCAGCACATGTGTAAGAGCGAAGATGATGAATGGGGAGTGGTCCCAGGCTGAGGCTTGGCTGGGTGTAGGACAAGAGAGGAGGACAGTGTGAAGGTAAACTGATTCACCAAGAGGTCAAATAGAGAGAAGAGGAGAAAATGGCTAGGGCAGGAGAGTTCGAGAATTGAGGGATCAAGGTATTCAAGGTCATGGTGTGGGTGAAGAGCAGGGTTTGGTAAGGGAAAGCAGAGGGAGAGATGGAAAGCCAATAGGTTATGGTTGGATAAAGGGATTTCAGAACTCTTGAACATGGAGGTGGTACAATTGTGGATGATGGCAAGATTAAGGGTATGATCATCTTTTGTGTGTGACTGAGATGAGGGGAAGAGGAGTGGCTTGTGGGAGGTGAGTAGGTTAAGGAACTGAGTTGTTAGGGTGTTTGAGGGGAGAGTCCACAAGTATGTTGAAGGAGAGAAAAATTGTGAGCTGGATACCAAACTCATTGAGAAAGGAAAGGGAGTGACCTGGAGGGCTATAAACAACAGCTACCAGGGTTTTGGTGGGTGGTAAATATGAATATGAACCTTCTAGGAGGAGAGGTTACTGAGTTAATGGAGGTAGGAAGAGAACCAGGCAGTGGTAATGGGGGAGCTCAGAGTATTCCAACTCTACCCCCTCAACCAGAGAGCTGATGAGAAAGAGTGAAGGGGTAGCCAGCACTGGAAAAGGTGGCCAGGGAGGCTGTGCCATCAGGAGGAGCCAGGTTTTAGTAATAGTTCATGGGTGGAAGGAATGGACAGAGGAAATATTTAGGAGGAAGGGAAGTTTGTCAACTATGGAATGGGAATTCCAGAGGGCACAGTGGAAGGGGTGGGTGGGGTTAGGAGGAAACTTTAGTTTGAGTGGGTTGAGGGGTGATGGGAAAGAGGAATTGAGTGGTGGGAAGCAGGGAATAAGGTTTGGATAATACAGTAGTATGGAATTCCTGGGATGTATAGGGTGTGTCCAGGTATGAGAAGAGTCATTCATTGAGTGGAGGGTCACCATTCCTCTACCCAAAATCTGAGTGATTCTGGAGAGAGTGGAGAGAAGGGCAAAGGCAGGAGAGACACTGGGGAGATGAATTCACCAAGATGTGGCACCTGCTTAGTTACAGGGCCATAAGGGAGAGAGTCAAGGGTGACCATGAGGTAGCAAATCTGGGAAACTAGAAGAATGGTGATACCCTCGGCAGAGGAGTGGATAACGAGTTTTGTTCTGTTCCTGTTGAGCCGGTGGGAATTCCTGCCTGTTTGACCTTGACCAAGTACCTTTCCCTGGCTGGACCCAAGCTTCCTTCTCCATATGCTGAGGAGGATCTCTGAGGCTTGATCCCAGGCAACCTTTCAGTTTGTCCTCAGGGGATTGAAGACATCTTTGCAAGGACCCTTGCTTGGTTTAGGTCTCCCAGAACCAAGTACATTACAGGTGGTGATATGAATGAACGAACGAGCTTCACTTTGGGCTGAGTTAGAAATATTAGAGCCATGTCCCATAGTTGTTTTTTTTTTCCCTACATGATATCAGCACTCGGGGACCTTCCCACTGACTGGTGGTATTTCAAAAGGCATGAGCTTCACTTGTGTGGATCCATATAGATCATAGCTTTCTCCATAGATTAGCCCAGGGCTTCTCAATCTGGGGACCTTGGGTAGATTTCAGGGGGTCTGTGAAGTTATGTGGGAAAAATTACTTTTTAAATTTTCATTAACCTCTAAACTCTAGCATTTCCTTGTAATTAGGAATATTGAAACCAGTGAAAGTGACCACTGGCCTTTAAAGGTGCATCATGCCTGGATTGTGAGAGATGAGCTGTCCTGTGCCCCCGCAAAGATGTGCTAGGAAGCTGCCTGACCACCACCGTGTGGTGTCCCCGAATCCTTAACCTGACATGGGTCTGGTGATAAGTAGAGGATATGGCACCCACCGCTGAACACCCAGAGAAGGGGCAGGGCTGCAGAGGCACTGTCTAGTCAGTTCTCCTCACCTCCTACAGGAGGCCACAATAGCAGCTGCGCTCCAGAGTTGGTTTCTGGGGAGGAGAGCTGCGGGTGTGCCAGGAAGCACCTCGGCACCTGAGCTAAATCTTCTCTTTCTTCCTGATGTGGAGGGAATTGGCATTGACTCCAATCCCTTCTCTAAAGAAAGTGTGACATTCTTCCAATCCAGTTCAGTCCAGTCCAAGGACCTTTGACGTCTTCCATGGGACCACTCTCTCCAGTAATGCAGATCGCAGCCCCTCTAACACCCAGTGGGCAGCTCTCACCAGTTACTGCAGCTGGAAGGCGGATCACACTGCACTGGCCTTGGGAGAAGAGTCTCTAATTCTGGATGATGGCTCTCATTCTCCAAACTCATGTCCTGGGGCTGTTAGTAGCACTTTGGTATCATCCTTCAGCCCAAGATCTCCAAAGGTTCTATAAGTATTTTTGTGATATTTTCACTTAAAGTTTAACTTCCCCCTCCACTTAGACTCTAAGGGATGGCCTTTGAAAGTATTCACGGCCAGAACATTCATTCACACTGCTTCGCCTTCCCACAGCTCACTCTCCCTGCGTGGCCAGTCAGGCAGGGAGCCCTCTACACTCAGGCCGGGCCCCAGACAGCAGCCATACCCTCCATCACCTGGCCTAGGGTCAAAGCTTGCAGCAGGACCTTCCACAGCCCGTGTGCCTTCGCAGTAGCCTTCATTCAAGAACCCCGCCTCCCCTCCCCCTCACCAGGAAGCCTTGGGGCAGGAGCCTTTGTTGGGAACTTGTTATCATCAGTATTCTGTCAGTCCCACATGGGGTGCAGGGACCCCGGGAGCTCCGAAGCCCCTCTAGTCTAAGCTGGAAAGGTCTTTGTACCATGAACCCACCACCAAGGAAGCCTACCTCTCCTGCCTCTCTGCTCAGCCAGAATCCTGACTCAGCTAGAAAAGGAAGGATCAGGTTTTAGCCCACAGAGGGGACAGGGTTTGGTGTGTTGGGGAAGATGGGAAGAGCTCTCTTTTTAAGGACTAGCCCATCTCTGCATTGAAAAGTCTGCTTAGATACTTGGGTAGGTAGGAATGGGTATGCCCTCCACTGATCGAGAGCCACCCCTCCACACCTGCCCATGCAGGTCCACGGTCCTCGTCTGTCTGCTCCCGCAGGCAGTCCATCCTCGGACCCTTCCTCTGGACCTCTTGACACTGTTTGCAGCCTTCACAAAAGCAGACCAGGAGGTAGAGATGATGAGGAAAAAAAATTACATATTTCCCTATTTGGCAGGGGGAATTCCGCAGGGTGGGGGGCAGCTTTTATCAATGCAATCAGCAGACAGGCCAGGCCTGGTGCCAACCAGGTATGTATCCAGTTTTTACAGCACCACGGCTGCCCTGAGGAAAGAGCACAGGTCTATAGGCAGAGGACCTGGGTTCAAGTCATGTCTCTGACACTTACTATCTCCGTGACTTTGGGTGAGTGACCTAACCTCCCTGGGCTTCAGATTCCTCATCTGTAAAATAAGGAGGGCATTGGATTGCATGGGGCTTTCTAGGTCCCTTCCAGTTTTAAATCTGTGCTCTGGGGATCGAGGGTCCTTGATTTGGAGAGGAGACCAATGTAATGGCTCTGAGTCCAGCCTTCAGCCTTTACGAGCTGTGAGACAGTAGGTTCTCTGAGCCTCAGTTTCCTCATCTGTAAAATGGGTATCATAAAACTTGTAATATCTGACTCCTAGAATCTTTGTGGGGAGAGCACTTAAAGACAGTAACAACAGCAACAGCAAATACTACTATCATCATCATCATCATCATCATCACTGCCTCAGACACTTCCTAGCTCTGTGACTCTGGACAAGTCAGGTCACCTTTTTCTGCCTCAGTTTCCTCATCTGTAGAATGGAGATAATAATAGCACCTCCCTCATAGGGTTATTGTGAAGATGAAATGAGATAATGCTTGTAAAGTTCAACCTTACAAGGGAGAGAAATAGGATCTCTTTTTCTCTGTCACGGCTGGGGGCGTCCTCATCCAGGGGCTCAGAATCCAGGTCCCGGCCTACTGGGCTGCAGGGAATTTCTCCCACGTGCCAGGGCCAGGTCACCTGACCTGACTAACCCAGGGTGTCCCCCAAACTTTCTCCTGAAAACTTGGGCTGCCGACATGGGGAATCATTTTTGAGGGCAGGTCTCCCTCTAGTGGCATCGCTGCAGATCGACACGGAGGCCTTCATTGGCATGGACAGGCCCAAAGTTTAAAGTCAATGATTCCTGACTGGAATCCCTGCATGGAGTCTGAGCCCTGGAAGAAAGTGCTGAAGCTTCGTGACGTATCCCCCGAGACCGTTTATCTGCCAACAAGTATGATATGTAATGATTCTCTCTCTTTCTCTCTCTCCTTGCCCCGCTCTCTCCCTCTCACCCTTTCCCTGTTCCACTCTTCTCCCTCCCTGTCCATGTCCTTCCCCTCTCCACCACTTCATCTCCCTCCTCCTCCCCCTCCCCTTCCACAACCATCTCCTTCTCCCCCTTTTTTTCTCCCCTCTCCTCTCTTCCACCTCTCCCTCTCCATGTTCATCCCTTCTCCCTCTCTCCTTCTCCCCTCTCCACTCTCTCTCTTCCTCTTCCTCTGTCAGTGCTGGTGTGGGCCGGACGGGCACCTTCATCGTCATCGATGCCATCATAGATATGATGCATGCTGAGCAAAAGGTTGACGTCTTTGAGTTTGTTTCCAGGATCCGTAACCAGCGGCCTCAAATGGTTCAAACTGATGTAAGTGAAAGACTTCATTTGTGGAACTTTTCATTCTGATCCATCTTGCAGACTGAGTCCATATACTCACATATAGGCCATTCTGCCCCATAAAACAACTCTGGTGATGTTAATGAAAACGCTGTGTGGCCGATGGATTTGGACCAAAGGCCCTGCCCTCCCTCTCCTCAGCTCGTCGCCTATACAACAAGGCTCAGCTCCGCTGTGGGACAATGACCCTCCCAGGGGAGAGGTGGGGGGCTCTAGGTGTTGAATGTTGCATACCCTGTCAATTCTAATAGCTGTGTTGGTTTGTTTTCTCTTTGTGAGTTAGGGATAGGAAGCTGGGAAGTGTCTGTGGTCTATAAAAACAAAACATGGAGACAAAACTAAGGAAAAATAAAACTGTTCAGGTTTACCTGGCCTGCTTTCAGAAGCATGAGCCCTGAATTGCATGAGCATCTTTTTCCATGGAGAAGAAATTTCCATACAAACAATGATTGGTCTTCAGCTTGTGTCCCCTCTTCTGCTCTCCCCTCCACCCACACACATAGCCTCACCTTGCTTTTTAGGACCAAGGAGGACAGCCTGACTAGGCAGGGTCAGGGGGCCCAAGACCCCCCATGCTGCTCACCTCTTTCTCTCCTCCTCTCACTCAGATGCAGTATACATTCATCTACCAAGCCTTACTAGAATACTACCTCTATGGAGACACAGAGCTGGACGTGGCCTCCCTGGAGAAGCATCTCCAATCCCTTCACAGCCCCACGGCGCCCTTGGACAAAATCGGCCTTGAAGAAGAGTTCAGAGTAAGTGCTAACTTTGGGTCCTAGGCCCCCAGCAACATCTCTGGGCTGGAGAAGCGTCGAAATGGATGCATGTTGGTATTAAAAAATGCATGAGCAATGTAAGCCCTGGGCATGAAAACAAGTTCAGAAAGGTGGCAGATATGGTGTGGTAGAAAGAGGACTGGCCTTGGGTGTGAATCCTGGGTGAATCCCTTTACCTCTGAAGCAGAGAGATTGTCCATACACCACCCACCTCCCTGGGCCATTAGAATTAGAATGCTCATCAAGGTGAGCTGACCCCATGACTGAGTGGGAAGAGGGCTGGGAAGCCTGAGAACCCCCGGGTCATGGTCCAGCTCTGACACTCATGAGCTCTGCCGTGGTGGGCAAGTCCCTTGCCCCCTCTGAGCCTCAGTCTCCTCATCTGTAAAATGGAGAGAATTCCTCCACTTTATTCTCAGCAGGGTCATTGTAAGGAAATGATCCCATAAACCTTGAAGCATTATAGATGTGGGACCACTGTTTTTATTAGGAAGTGTTTCCAGACCAGTGAGCTGGGGGGAGATTATGAAAAGTAGGAGGATAAGAAGGAGAGAAAGAGCATGGTAATAATAGTAGTGATCATTGTTTTGGACCAAACCTGTGATTTCATTGACCAGGATATGTCAGAGGGAGAACCTGAACCCAGGGCTTCCTGTAAGGCTAGCCCACTATCCAGAAAACCATAACGTCTCCCTAACAAAAATGATGTAATTCATATTTCCACATAAAATTGAATGTATCATGAAATTGAAATGCGGCCTAATAATACAAACCACATTTCTTTGAGTGAAAGGCTCTTTATAGGCGTTGCAGTAAGGAACAAATGGGGGGTGGGCAAATATTTCCATCCCCTCTTACCGATGAGAAAAACTGAGTCCCTGAGAAAGGCAGGAATTTGCCTTTGATCACATGGGCTTGATGAGTGTCTGAGATAAATTCAGACTCAGGGTTCCTGACCTCAGGCCCAGGGCTCTATCTACTAAACCATACTGCCTTCCAAATATTCCCATAGTCTCAGACCCTGGGGCTGTAATCTTACTTTCCAAAGGACAGAACCAATTTTGTTGATGTCTTTGTACTCTTAGTGCAAAGCACAGAGTGGCTGGTTGTTAAATCCTTCTTGGATGGATGGATGGATGGATGGGTGGATGGATGGATGGATGGATGGATGGATGGATGGATGGATGGATGGGTGGATGGATGAAAGTACCCAGGACGTTTTCCTTGCTATTTTCTTTTTTTTTCTTTCCTTGCTGTTTTCTGAAGCCAAGGAGTTGAAGTGAAGTGAGTGAGAGACTCATCTCCTGCGTCTGCTCTTCCCAGGGCCACCATGATGTCTCTCAGAGAGGAATCCAGGAACTGCCTGATGTAACTTTGCCTCTCTGTTTTTCCACCTGCAGAAATTGACAAATGTTCGAATAATGAAGGAAAACATGAGAACGGGCAACTTGCCGGCAAACATGAAGAAAGCCCGAGTCATCCAGATCATCCCATGTAAGGCAGCTCCTGATGTGGCACTCTGCATAATTAAAGGCGACCACAGGGTTTCATTAGGTGTGCCCCGATGGGTGGGTCCAGGGCCCTCCACTCAGAGTTTAGCAGGCTTCTGGAGGCGGAAGCCAGGTATTCCCCAAGACCAGCTGTGTGCGCATCTAGGAGGCCTGGCCCACATGGAGGGCCACAGGCCTTAGTTATAATAGCATCAGAGATGTGGAGCTGGGAGGAACCCCAAAGCTCATCCAAGATCCCAAAGAGCTCCCTCTAATCAGCAGCTGAAAATGGGTTAAATGTCCCTTGCAAATCTAGTCTTGTGTACCCTGGTATCATGGTGCTTAAAATGAGTCTAAGATGAGCCCAGCCTGCAGGAAACTCACTCTCTAATTGAGGAGACAAGACAGAGTCTGAGGACCTGGGTTCAAATCCTGACTCTAATGCTTAATAACTGTAGGATCCTGGGCAAACTATTTCCATTTTCTGGGCCTTAGTTACCTCCTCAGGGAAATGGATGGGGTACACCAAGGAACGTCTGAGTTCCCTTCTAGCTCAAGCTCTCCTGACTATGGCCAGTAACCAAAACAGCCACACAGAGACTTCATTAGATACAGATGCACAGCACACGCACCATATGTCTCGTGCAGTAGTAACAGTGCAAGAAGGCATTGTGTGATTAGGTCCTGGTTGTCTCATGTAGACAGTAAATGTAAGAAAAATCAGAAAAGGGGGTGTCGCTATGAGCAGGCGTCAGAGAAAGGCTTTATTGAGGACAGGGGATCTGGATGACCCTTGAAGGATGGGATAGCAGACATGGCAGGGGGGAGGGAAGGGGCATTCTTGGTAACAAGTAGAGAGATTGTTAAGGTGCACAGACAAAGGAGAGTATAGCATCAAGAAGACTGATCCATCCTAGGAGAAGGGAGGGGAGTTCTGGGGAACATAGGAGGACAAACTGTAGAGGGTCAGATTATGGAAATGGGATGGGCAGTAGGGAGCCTTTGGAGGCCACTGAGCACAGAGGCAGCATGCTGAAAGCAGAACTGTAAGAAGATTCATCCCATGGTGGGATGCAGGGGAAAGGCTGCAGGGAGACAGACTATCTGGGAAGAGAGGCGGCAACAAGGCTCCCGTGAGGCAGGGGAGAGTCTGAAAGCATTGCAGGGGGAAGCTTGTCACTGATTTTATGTGAGAAGATCCAAAATTGGGGGTGGGGTGTGGATCAAAGATGACTCCAGCCTAGCAAATGGGAAGCCCTTGACAGGAATGGGAGCTGGAAAAGAAGGATCAGTCTGGGGAAGAAGAAATTAGCTACCAGTGGGACCTCTCTGACCTTCAGTTTTTTTATCTGTAAAACAAGGGGGTTGGATGATAAAGTCCTTTCCACCTCTCAACCCACAAGCCTATGAGCTGAGCTATAAATGGAGGTCGTACCAGCACCTCCCTCCCAGAGTTGTGAGCATACAATGAGATCACCTTTGTAGGGCCCTTGGAAAACCTTCAAAGTTCTACACAAATGCTTGGTATAGTTATGATTTTCCCCTGACTTTAAGTAGGGGGATTCCCATATCCATTTTTCAAGATGCCTTCATTAGTGATATTCCGCATTACTGATGTCTTAAGCATTTGCTAACAATTAGAACCACCCCAAGAGGTAGTGAGTGAGTTCTCATCCTGAAGGTCCTTACACAGGACATGGATGATGCTTCCATCAGGGATGGAAGAGTGGGGTTGCCTTGGGCCGGGGGCTGCCGAGCTCCCCTCTGACTCTGACATCCCGTGCTCCGATTCCAGGATGCTGAACTGTAAATCCTCTTCATGAGCCCCCATGCTCTGGATAAATGTGAGCGTTGACGTTGTTTTAAAGCATGTCTTTTGTCATTGGTGTTTTGTGGTCCACACTCAATGTAGTTGTCAAGCACAGTCTTCCAAACCTTCCCTCTTTCTCAGTGGGCAGCATCACTGTACAAAAATAGAAATGTCAGTGAGCTGTTTTCTAAAGCTCAGGTATAAAGTGATGATGGCGATGGTGATGAAGGTAATGAATAACTAATAATGACAGCTAAGATTATAAATTTGTAAGCACTTTACAAGTATTATTTCATTTTATCTTCACAACAACCCTGGAAAGTAGGTTCTGTTATCCTCATTTTACAGATGAGAAAACTGAGGTAAACAGGGTCAAGTGACTTTCCTAGTGTCACACAGCTAGTAAGTGTCTGAGGCTGGATTTGAACTCAGTTCTTCCTGACTCTAAGCACAGATTTCTGTCCCCTGCACCTTTGAAAACAGTTGTAAGTGATACCAAAAAGGAGAGGCCCCAAAACTTGGTTTCACAGGGTCTTCACATCTTAACAATTATATGTTAGAAGCTGGCAACAACGGAGCCATCCATGCAATCCATTCCAACAAAAGAAAAATGTTTTTTATCCCCCCCTTTTTTTTGTAGATGACTTCAACAGAGTGATTCTGTCAATGAAAAGAGGCCAAGAATACACTGACTATATCAACGCCTCCTTCATAGACGTAAGTGTGCATTGGTACGTTGTCTGAAGACTCGCCCTCAGTCTCCAGATGAAATTCTTGTATGCAACAAGCATTTATTAAGCACCCCCTGGATGCTCTGAGATGCTGTGGAGATAAAGGCAAAGATGGTGCCAGGCACTGGCAGAACAGAGACAAAAACAGTCCTGCCCTAACAGAGCTTACCTTCTAGTGGGGAGAAACGACCCATAGGCAGAGAAATATATGCAAAGCACATATCCAGTAATATTTGGGAGAGGGTTCATAACTAGTCAGCAGGCTCATGGCAAGAAGGAAGACACTCCAAGCTTTGAGAACAGCATGGAGTCAGTAAAGTGGAGGGTGTGTTCAGGGATAGACAAAGGGAGGTAGGTCTAGAAAGGACAGTTGGTGCCAAATCATGGTGGGCCTTGAATGCCAGAAAAAAAAGGTGTTTGGGCAACACAGAGATACAAAAGGTTTTTGATCCAAGAAGTGACTTGGCTACATCTTTACCTAAGCCTGGATTGGATGCAAGAGCAAGATGAAGCCAGCAAGCTGGGAACTATAGGCATCTAGGCAGGCGGTCCCAGGAGCCCACTCTAGGCTAGTACCATTTGGAAAAGGGGGAAGACTTAAGAACTGCCCCTTGGGTCGTGGCTGTCTGCACATCATTCTGTTTGGGAAGGCCCCTGCCAATCCTTGGTCAGCTCTCAGCTCAAGAAGGCCTTCCCTGAGACAGACCAAGATTTTCTTTTTTGTTTTGTTTTGTTTTTTGGCTAGGCAGTGGGGTTAAGTGACTTAACCAGGGTCACACAGCTAGTAAGTGTCAAATGTCTGAGGCTGGATTTGAACTCAGGTCCTCCTGACTCCGAGGCCAGAGCTCTATCCACTGCACCACCTTGTTGCCCCCAGGTTGAGTCTTTCAAACAGCCTGACAAGCTTCTTGCAACACTGTCCTCCTTTATTACGGGCCCTGCTGACTGCTGGCCTCAGAACAGAGCCTTCTGTAGGCAGGAGTGATGCTGGGGAGCAGAGATGTGCACAAATACAGCTCATGCATTTGTTTGGAGGCTGTCTTTAACTGGACATTCTCCAAAGGAGCCAGAGATCTACAAAACCCCATCAGAAATGGGCTGAGAGTCAGATTTATGGATAAGCGAAGAATTTAGGACCAAAGAAGGTATAGAGAGCATTATAAAATGTCAAATGGGTGGCAGCTAAGTGGCTCAGTGAGTAGTGTATTGACCCTGAAATCAGGAGGACTTGCGTTCAAATCCTGCCTCAGACACTTACTAGCTGTATGACCCTGGGCAAGTCATTTAACACCGATTACCTCAAAAAAAAAAAGACAACATGTAAAATAGATAATATTGATTACATAAAATTTTAAAAAATTTTGCACAAGCAAAACCAATACAACAAGAATTATGAGGAAAGCAGAAAATTGGGGAAATTTTCTGCAATGTGTATCTCCAATAAAGGTCTCATTTCTCAAATGTGTAGAGAACTGAGTCAAATTTATAAAAATACAAGCCATTCCCAATCATGACCAATTGATAAGTGGTCAGAAGATGAACAGGCAGTTTGTAGATGAAGAAATCAAAACTATCTATAGTCAAATGAAAAATGCTCTAAATCACTATTGATCAGAGAAATACAAATGAAAACAACTCTGAGGTACCACCTCACATCTATCAGTGTAGCTAACATGACAGAAAAGGAAAATCAGAAGGATCCCATCAATTGGGGAATGGCTGAAAAAGCTGTGGTACATGCTTGTAATGGAATATTATTGTGCTATAAGAAATGACAAGCAGGATGATTTCAGAAAAGCCTGGAAAGACTTACAAGAATGGATGCAGAGTGAAGTGAACAGAAGCAGGAGAGCAGTGTACATGGTAACAGCAATATTGTACGATGAAGAATTGTGATTGACTTAGCTATTCTCAGCAATGCAATGATCCAAGATGATGCCAAAGAACTAATGATGAAGCATACTATCTGCCTCCAGAGAAAGAACAGATATTGTTTAAGTACAGACTGAATCATGCTAGTTTTCACTTTCTTTCTTTCTTTTTCTTTGCAGTCTTCTTGTACAAAATAACTAATATGGGAATGTTTTACATAATTGCACATGTATAACCTATATCTGATTTCTTACTGTCTTAGGGAGGAGGGAGGGGTAGAATTTGGAACTCAAGACTTTAAATAAAAATGTTTTTAAAAATTGGGGGGAAAAGAAAGAAAGGAATGGGCTGGGAGAATGTCCCGGCATTTCAAGGATATGAAGCAGGTGAATCATTTTGTCTGAGGGGGTAATCTTGTCTCTGTCACCTGCTGGATCTTGCTCAGGCCTGAGAGAGCACATTTCACCCCCTCCCTCCAGGTTCTGAAGGCAGGACCTTTGATGCTAAAATCATCACTTGACTGGAGCTGAAAGCAATGCGACAGTGGTTCAGAATCCAACTGTCTCCATTCTCTTTAAAGGGATATCGGCAGAAGGACTATTTCATCGCAACTCAAGGACCTCTTCCACACACAGTGGAAGACTTCTGGAGGATGTGTGGGGAGTGGAAATGCCACACAATTGTGATGCTGACCAAGGTCCAAGAGAGGGAGCAGGTGAGGATAGCCCCATGGTGGCTTAGCCACCAGATCTCCCATGGAGGTCTAGCATTGAGGATCTTACACTAGAAAGTTGTTGTCATTTATTATTTGACAATTTTCATTATCTTAGCTCCTCCTAGTACTTCCCCCCTAAAACTGCCTTATAATTTTTTTGTATCTGCCTCTAAATGTACATATTGTGTGTGCCCCTACCCTTAAAGAATGGAAGCTCTCCAAGGGCAGGGGTTTTTCCCTGGCATCATCAGTGCAGCACTTGGATAAATGTTGATAGATTGTTTGGGTCCTGCAAGCCATTTGTGAACGCCTTGGCAATAAAGGTGGTCACCATGGAGCTGTATTGGGATAACAATGCCTTCTTTTACTGTCCTTTGAGACCTTCTGTTTAGGTGGTCTCTCAACTCTGCCCATTTTTGTTTGCCAGTATCATCAGCTGTGGGGGAAATGTTGCTCCTTCCCATTACATAAATCATAAAACCATGGAGATTAATGTGTGTGCCCAGTTGCTATCACTACACAAATGAGATGAATTAAAAGTCTCTGGAGCTGTTCCTAAATTTTCTTAGAATTTGCAGAAAATAGTGACTGAAAGCCTTTGTCTTTTTTATTTTTATCTCCTAGAAAAATGCTTTCAGTATTGCCAGCAGATGGCTCTGTGACTCACGGAGAGATCAATATTGAAATAAAGAGCGACACCTTTCTGAGGCCATCAGCGTACAAGATTTCTTGGTGACTTTCAATCAGGTATTGGATGCCTTTTTTTTTGGAATTGCTGTTTGAAACTCAATGACCCGGAAGAATTCCAGGAGGGACAAATGTTGCTAGCTTTTTATTTATTAAGCAGGAGTGCTGCCCACACAGTAATTCATTCCTCTGGGTGTATGGCAAGGGAAACACGATGCCCACTGAGGCCCCCTTTAGCATCTTGAGTGCCCCCTAGTGGAGATCTCTATCATAACATGCGGTGAACCATTGACGTGGGAAGTCTCTGGCGCATCTGGGAGAAGTTATCCAAAGGGGAATTTTAGAAAACAGGGCTTTCTAATTCAGTGCTGGATGAGGATGTTGCATGTGTTTAGGTTCCTAATTACATCTAGGTCAGTGAGGACCCTCAGAATCCACTTTACACATGAGGAAACTGAGGCCCAGAGAGGGGGAGTGAGCTGAGAACTAATCAGCCGCTGTCTTTTGGCCTTTTGCCAAGGGGCCAAAGGCATCCCCATCCTCTGCAGAGTGAGAGGAGTGGGTAATCACAGAATTAAACCCAGGTTCGTCTTTGGGTGACCATGTCAGATGGCACAGAGGCCCTCTCCCCACCTCCCCCCCAGCAGCCCTCCAGCCCACTCACTGGGAGTTTGCAACCTTCTCTGGTCCCACAGCACTGGGTTTCCATGAAGTAGATCTGGGCTGGGGAGTGACCCTTCAGGAGAGTGGACTTCAGGGCAGAAGTTTAATAAAGGTTTGTGTATTGGTTGGTGGATGGACATCACAACCTGAAAACAAAGTGTTCAGATCGGCCCTCCTAATGACCATGCCTAAAGCCCCTGCACCGTGCCTCAACCCCACTAGGAGAAGAAGAGCAGGCTGGTCAGACAGTTTCATTTTCACGGCTGGCCTGAGATTGGGATCCCAGCCGAAGGGAAAGGCATGATCGACCTTATTGCCGCTGTCCAGAAGCAGCAGCAGCAGACGGGCAACCACCCCATCACCGTGCACTGCAGGTAAGCTTCCTGCTCTGCCAGGCTGCTCTGTGGGGCTGTTAATTCTCCTGCCGTGGGTGTGGTGACCTCCTCTCTTCCTGAGAGTGAGCAGTGCCTGCTTTAAGCCCATGTGGAATGGGTATTGACGTTCATCCAACTTTGTGGACCTCTCAGCGCCTCAGTTTCCACCACTATAAAATGGGAGCCCTGCGTACACACTCTCTGTCGTGGGGCTTGCTGTGGGGAAAGCATCTTAGAAATCTTTGAAGCACAGTAGAAATGTGAGTTATTATCAGATGCCAACAGGCGATTCAAGGTTCTGACCCATTAGGGGCTGACAGAGAGAACCAGATGTGAGATGAGAAAGCCTGGCTGCAGTCCTTATTCTAACACTGCCTACATCATTTCCCCTCTCAAAATGAGAGCTAATAATAGCTTATGTCGACCTAGTGCTGCGAGGTTTGCGAAGCACTTTACAACTATCATCTCATCTTATCCTCACCAAACCCCTGGGAGGGAGGTGCCAGCCTTATCCCCATTTCAGAGATGAGCTAACTGAGGCAAGCAGAGGTTAAGTGACTTGCGCAGGGCTACACAGCTAGTAAGCATCTGAGACTGGATTTAAATTCAGGTCTTCCTAACTCCAACCCACTTGGCCACCTGGTCGGACTAGATTGTCAGTCTCTTCCAGCTGTAAATCTCTGCTTCTCTCTGTATGACCTCAGACAGTTTGTTTGGCCTCAGTTTCCTCTGGGCGCAGATCCTAGTACTGTATCCCTGCTGTGCCCCTGGTCTCGTTAGACTGGCTTGTCCCCGAGGGTCTGTGCTCGGGTCCACAAGCAGCGTCCTGCGTGGCGTCCCTCGCCTTCTGGGCTTCTGCTTCCTCCTCTGGAAGATGAAAGGGGGAGATTAAACGGCCCTAAGGCCCTCTGGCTTTAAATCCAAAACACGTTTTACTTTATTTTTGCTAGCTGTTGTTTCTAATTAGATCCAGAAATCTCAAACTGACTTCATTTCCGCCCACATTGTCGCTTCCTACTTAGAAACTGCCTCTGCCTCAGAGGCAGCCTCCCTTCCGGATGTTTGTATCAGAGTGTGAAGTTAACAGCGTTAGTTTGGTCTATTTCTTTGAAAAGGACAGGCCGGCTGCTGTTCCCAGGCAGGCCACTAGGTGGGGAACAAAACTCAAGTCATTTACCTCTCAGGCCCATTTCCAGTTACTTTTGTAACAAGATGCAAATAAGAGAGTAGAGTTGGAGAAGGCCTGGGACCCCGGGGATGCCCTCCTTCACCGCCCCCTCCCAAGGGAAGCCAGCTCCTTCCAAAGTCTTTCAGAAGCTGTCAGTGTCAGATCATACATAGATAGGTCACTGTTTGTTAAACCCTCAGGGCTGGGAAATAGACAGTAGGGTGGCTTTTGTATTGGCCTCTGGGGGCCCTGGACACTCCCCTCTGTGAAGCAAATTCAGGCTGCCCTGGAGTTTGGTGGCAAAGAAACCACTAGGAATGGAGGGGAGTGGGAGCACGGGTTCTTTTTCGTGTCTTGGATCCCCTTGGCAGTCTGGGGAAGCCTAGGCACCCCTTCTCAGAACCATGTTTTTAAAATGCATAAAATAAAATGCAGAAGAAGGAAATTACATTGAAATACAGTTGTCAAATATTGGAGAGGAAAAAAATTTCCCAGATCTAAGTTACCGCTGAACCTATCACCTAGGTCTTTTAACAAGAATAATGAAAGTAAAATGCCTCTTTCCTTTCTTCACCCTCTCCCCACCTCCAACACACTCCAGGTCTATACCTGCTGACAATCCTCCACTGACATGTTCTCCTCACCCACCCTCCTTTCCTTCACCATCCTAACTGTGGCCTTGTAATGGCCTGGGGTCTCAGCTCACAAGCACCACGGTCCCAGGATTCGTCCCCTCCTGAATGAGGCAGTGACTGGTCTCCTTAACCATCACTATCATCCCCTACCCCACACCTGAAATCATTAAAATTTTATTTGAGGATATTTTCTGTTATTGGCCCTGAGTACAATAATTTGCTGGCCATACCTTTGCTGGTTCATGTTTTGCATAGACCAGCCTCTTCCAAGTCAACATAGAGGAGCTGGTATGGCTGCAGGTCATAGACTTCTATGTAGGAAGTAATGGAGAGAAGTGGGAGACATGGATGGGTCCTGGAGACTGAGCTAGAAGGAAGGCTTTTCATCCAGGCCAACCCCCTTTTTTCACAGGGGATGAAACTGAGGCCCATGGAAGAGGGGTGTCACTCAAAGGCACACAGGCAGAGCCAGGATCTGAACCCAGTTTACCCTGCAGACCTAGCAAAAGGAGCTCAGATTGAGAAGGGTGAGGGAGGGAGTCTAGCCATTTGCTTTGTCAACAATCACAGCTCTGTTGTGTCATATTTTAATGCATCAAGATATAACTTAGGACTCCAAGACAAAAGAACTGGATCATTGTAATCTGCATAGACCACTTCCCCCTGTCCCCTCCACAAATGTCACTTGAGGAGCACCTCCTCACCCACCTTGCTGTATGACTTTGGGCAGGCTACCTTCCCTCTCTGGGCCCTCCCCTAAAGAAGAAGGAGTGGGGCTAGATCAGGAGTGGGGAACCTGTGGCCCCGAGGGCGCATGTGGCCCTCTAGGTCTCTGGGTGCACCTTTTGACAGAGTCCACATTTTACAGAATAAATCCTTTTATTCAGGGGATTTGTTCTATGAAGTTTCCTTCCAGATCTCAGGTTCTCTTTTTTAGGCTTTCCTTGATTATAAAGAAGTCTGGGCACAGTGAGCAAAGGAGAAGGGAAAACAAACCCGTCTGATTTTGGTTCGACTCGGTCCTCCTCTGAATTCAGCCTCTGTTCAAGGTTCCGATGGCGGTCCAGTTTGGAAGTGAGGCCAGCATCTTGAATGTCAAGCCCACAAGGACTTGAGCTGGCTCTGGCCACTCTAGGTGATGGGGGCCCATGACAAGTGTTCACTGCCTTTGATTCTCCTATCTTATTTCCCTCCAAGCCCAGATGGAGTACCAGCTCCCATGGGAAGCCTTTCCTGATTCCTCTCCTTATTACCTCTTATCCTACTTGTGTCTGCGACAATTTAAGTCAACAAGCGGTATTAGCGCTTGCTATGTGGTAGGCTGAGTTAAGTGCTGAATGTAAATACCACCCGAAAGACAGATGGTCCCTACCCCCAAGGGGCTTACATTCTAATGGGGAAAGGGAAGCTGAAAAAGGGGCAGAGATTGGAGGTGCCCATGGAGGGGGGACGGGTGTGCAGCCTGAAGAGAACATAAGCTTATTGGGGCAGAGACTCTGGTTTTTGTCATTGCTGGTGCATAGAAGACATGTAAGAAATGCTTGAGTTTTCTCTTTTATTGAAATTGTTTCCCAGTTCACAAAAATTGATTTTCTCTCACTCCCATCCCTTCCAAGTTAAAAAAAGAAAAAACAAAACCTTATAGCAAATATCCACAGTCAAGCAAAACAAATTGCCACATCAATAAATGCTTGTGGATTGGTGGTTAAGGATGACGGAGGTTGGAGCTTGGTTCGGTCCAAAGAAACCCTGGAAAGCAGCGCGGGGGTGGGCAGTGGATTATCTGCATGACTTCATGCCTTCCTTCCCTTCCTGAGCCTTTGGTAACATAGAGCGATGGCCCATTCGAGTAACATCTAACTGCCCATAATGTGCGAAGCCCTAACAAAGCTGAGAGACGGACGAAGACAAGTCAGGCCGCTCCCAGCCCACCTTGTGGGGCTTACAGGCTAGTCTGGGCTTGACAGAGGCCCGGCTGCTGCATTCCTTGCCAGAGAACCAAGGGCTGTTAGGTACCTGTGGTCTTCATAGAAACAGGAGGCGGGACTCCACGTTTACCCTCACCACTCAGAGCCTAAAGTCGCTACGAGGTTCGGAGCATCTTTCCGCCTCCTCGGCCTGAGGGGAATCTGAGAAGGGGTGGATGCTCTGTCGCTGTCCAAACTTGTCCGGAGCTTGGGCCGAGGGCGGGAACGCCATCCCTGCTCTCCTGGCTTTCCTCCCTTGAGCACCGCCTCTGGGTGTTGTCTGCTACGTCTTTTCCGACGAGCTTTGGAGGCCAGGTGACCCTCATCACGTCCTTTTCTCCCCAACAGCGCGGGAGCTGGGCGGACAGGTACCTTCATAGCGCTCAGCAACATACTGGAACGAGTCAAAGCCGAGGGACTCCTGGACGTCTTTCAGGCCGTGAAGAGCCTGCGACTGCAGCGGCCGCATATGGTGCAAACCTTGGTAGGCTACGGGGTCCAGCGTGGGGCCTGAGCAAGGGTGGAGAGGGTGTGTGAGCCCGGGAAGTGCATTTGGCACAGGGGAGAGCCCAGGCTAAAGGCGGCCCAACCGCCTCTCCCACGCCACCGCCCGGCCCTGCGTCATCACAGGATTTTTGTCAACAAGCAATAAGTGCCTGTTGTGGGCAAGAAACTGAACTGGGCCGTGGAGGACCAAGAGCCCCTGACCTCAAGGAGCTTACTTTCTCCGGGGGAGGGGAAGAATAACACAGGCACACAAAGACTTAAATAAATACTAAGATATGTAGGGGTTGGCTCACGCAGGACTGGAGGAATCAGGAAAGGCTTCGGGTATAAAGGGGCCCTGGGCTTTGAAGGAAGGGGCGGGGCAGGGCTGGGGGAGGGGGGAGGACGTGTGCTTCATCACTGGACCCTTTTTCAGGCCTTGCAAGCGCATTAAAAGGGTTTTTGTTTTTTGTTTTGTTTTGGGGCTGTTGGAAGGGGGGCTTTTTGTTTGTTTTGGAGTTGAGAAACGAAAGCCACGAAGAACTAACACTTCCATTGGCCAGCGCAAAGGCCAAGGGTTTTCTGGAAGAAGCGCCTTCCTCCTCCCCGGACTGAGAAGCAGCCTGGTTTCGGGCAGCAGATGACCTTTTTAAAAGTTGCCGGGACAAGCTAACTGTTTTCTCCAAGTCTCTTTATTTGACCCACTTTTCCGTGGTTTTCCCAAATGAACGCAGCTGCTGTCTTCTCTCCCCCACACTGACTCTCCGACCTCCCATCCCGTCCCTGTCCAGGCGCTCCCTTAGCCAGAGATCTCCTTTGGTGCATTGGCTATGATCCTCCGAAAGCGGTTTGTCTCCGTCCACAGCTCACTGGGACGAGAGCTCATCGATTCCGGTCTCTGAACTTAGCACAGTGCTGGGCGCGGAAGAAGCCGCAGGCTTGCTGGTTGACTCGGAGCTGACCAATCTGAAAAACACTCAGATTTGCATCTTTACAATCCACGGTCTTGAAGCGGCTGTGTCAGACGTCCAAGTGCATCTCCTGAGGCTTTGTTCGTTCGTATTTTTAGGATTATGAAAATTTTCAAACTTAATTAGGCAAACTCAAAATTGCGTTCCCAAAATGTGCTAATCTAGTCTAAAACCATACACTGGCATTGTCAATCTGAAAAGACTGCTGTACTTTCAAAATAACAAACCAGAACTGAAAGGACAGAACCTTGTAGACAGAAATAGACCCATATTTTTAGGCAAATTGGCAGGATGTTAGATGCTAGGGCGGGCTGCTAGTCATGGAAAATCAACAGGCTGTTTATCTGTCTTTTTTTTTTCAGGAGCAGTATGAATTCTGCTATAAAGTGGTACAAGATTTCATCGATATATTTTCTGATTATGCTAACTTCAAATGAAGATTCCTGCCTTAAAATGTTTTTATTTTAATTTAATGGTCAGTACAAATGTTTGTAAATCTTGTTAATTTATTTCATAGTTGACATTAATGTTGTTTCTAATTCCTGTGTATATATTTTGTTACACTTTAAATATCACCTGCTCTAAAAGATAGAAATTAAACCTAACAGCATTATCTTTTTTTTTAATTGGCATAACGTGTTAAGTAAAATCATCTGCTACACACATGTATATATTGCTCTGCCAATGGCAGTCTTATTTTCCCTTGTAGACAGCTTAATAATGCATTTCATTTCAAAGGCTGAGCATCTCAGAATTTTGTATGGCCACCATTGGAGCTTGACAGATGAATAATCCATCACATGCTTAGCTCTGACACTGAAACAGCCATCCATTGTTTGTCAAACAGTTCAGGGTTCTCCCAGCACCACCAAGCATGCTTGGCTACCTTTGCTTTTGAAAGTCCTGGGCATCTCTCATTCCAGGGCACCCCTCCAACTTTGGTTCATTCAGAGTCTAAATAGAGGGTTTTTAATTTTTTATTTATTTATTTTTTTGGCAGTTGGTGTTAAGTGACTTGCCCAGGGTCACACAGCTAGTAAGTACCTGAGGCTGAATCTGAACTCAGGTCTTCCTGACTTCAGGGCCGGTGCTTTATCCACTCCGCCACCTAGCTACCCCCTAAATAGAGGGTTTTTAAATCTTCTATTTTAACTACATATTTCATTTTCATTTTTAAAAGATTATATACCATTTAAAAACCTGGACACAGGCCTAAGACATGGAATAATTTTATATCCATACATACATATATACACACATACATATATATGTGTGTGTGTGTGTGTGTGTGTGTGTGTGTGTGTGTGTGTTTTGGCCAGGGCTGTCTACCAAGGACCCCCAGCTTCATGCCTGCTGGGTGGGCCCCAAGAGCACCCACTTTGCCTTTTAAGGAGCACATAGGAAACACTTATAGTCAGGCCAACCTGGATTGTTCAGGCTTGCCTCCAATTCAGTGACTCCAGAGGTGACTCAAGTTTGACTTGGCTCAAGCTCTGCCGAAGACATGTTTGTTGTCCCGGAATGATGCCAAGAGCAGCTTCTGCCTCCCACCTCAAAAAATACCCCATGAGCCCCCAAAGCGTCTTTCCAGATTTCTCCTTCCAGAGCCAGAAAGTCTTCAAAGCAGAGTGCTTTAGCCGAGGCATCCAGAGAAATAGAAGTAACTTGCCTTCAGATTCTCTGGAAAATACTTTAGTGTGAAAACTTGTCCTGTGTAAAGAACTGTAATTCTTTGTTTTAAAACACTTTTAAAGTCTATTTAGATTTGTATGATCTTTTTAAAAGTATCTCTTAAGGTTAAAACAGAGACGAGGAAGTCCTCCAGTTTGTTTGGGGATTGTAATACCGCTGAAACCTTATGTACAGGAGGGAGATTGATCCCACCAGAGAACAGGACTGACTGACATAGGGGTAAAGGAAGGTATAAAAGGAAGAAGGCTGAATGCCAGATTTAATTCAAGGATCTGTAGACAGAGATATATGAGCACAAAAGAAAAAAAAATCTTAACCCCATTTGATCTAAGTTACTGCATCCACAGGTTGCAGCTGATGAATTTTTTGTCTTTATTTACAAATAGAAAAGTCTCATTGGTAAGTCAGGGGATGGTAGCCTCAGGGCTCTGTTCTGGCTCGACAGGACAGGACTATCCCTCCCCTGCTTTATGAATTTGAAATTGCTCCTCATAGTCCTATGCAGCACAAGCCAGAGTTCCACCTGGCCTTCAGGCATGTCTCAAGTATAGGAGGAGATGGGGTCCCCAGCTGGAGAGATCTAAAGCACTGTCTGTGACCCTGCCTCATCATGCCCACAGGCTGCCTGGCACAGTGCCCCATCTTTATTTGTAGTATCAGCATGCACTGAATGTCCCCAATGCCAGAGGAGGACATGTCCAAAGGGATGGCAGGGATTGTTAAAATGCCAACAGCCAAAGGTCTTTGTTTGACTAAAGAAAAAGAAATTGAAAGGCTAAAAATCTTCGCAGTGAAGCAGGGTCATGGGAGCATGAGCTTAAAGCCGGAAGCCCTAGAGATCCTCTCCTCCAGCCTTGTCATTTTTTTAGAGGAGGAGACTGAAGGTCTGAGAAGTTACAGAATTGCCAGAGGTCACAAAGGTAGTAAGTAGCAAAGCTGGATTCAAATCCATGTCCTTTATGTACAAATCCAGTATTTGTGGTTAAGTCTAACAACATTAACGTCTTTGAATATCTTCAAGGCAAATTCACTTGCCGTATTCTGGGTTTTTGTTGTTTTCATCTTAAGTTGATTAGGTTCTGTGCTTTGATCCTGGATTCTTAAGCAGCCATTACCTGATCAGAGCTGACATCTCCAACCAGGAAGTATTGTAGTGGCAGGAATTAGGATCCTTGATGGAGAGCTGGAAGGGGACTTCAGAGGCATCTAGGACTGCCCCCTCACTTTACAAATGAGGAAACTGAGGCCCAGAGTGGAAGGGTGGAAGTAGCTTGGCCCAGGTGATGAAGGAAGTTGAACTCAAGTCCTCTGTCTCTAAGTTCAGTTCTTCCCAAGGGCAGTCCTCAGGACAATGGTCCCAGTGCTCCCCCTTACATTATTCCCTGGTGCTGGTCCCAGTCCACCATTGTGGGATCTCCAAGGTCTCTTACTTATCTCTAGCTCTGGGATCCATGTTAGGATTGGGGGGGTGATCTTCCCACTACTTTCTTCCTCCACATCAACCTAATAAATAAATTAATTAAATATTCCATAGCAGAAAAGGTCCAGAACCCCCTGTCCCTTTTAGAAGTAGAACTTGACAGACCCAGACCTCTGGGCTTTACCTTCCCTTCCCCCCAACATTGATGGCAGCCAGACATCCTCTGCCCTGGCTGGCCTTGGGCTGTGGCCCAGCAGAAGACCCTTGTGCGTTGTGTCTCCATCAGCATTTATCACTGCTATGTTTGATGGGCCCAAAAGTAGCCCAGAAGAGAAGGATCTGGTGAAACATTTTCTCCACTTGTCACTTCGACTTTAGTCAAGTGAAACAGGCCTCCTTCTGCAACCAGCCTCCCTCAGAACAAGTGGCTCTTCTTTTCAAGCTTCCTCTGTTGCATGTAACTATTAAAATGCCAAATGATGATGAGAAGCTCCCTTCTGATCTGTGTGCCTGATTGGTCACTGTGTAACAGCCTGAACTGTTGCTTTTCCTGTGTCACTTTAATGAAGAATGCAGACTGTGCTTCCAAAGGGATTTTTATGTGTTTTTAAGAGCTTTTCAAAATGAGCCCGACACTTGTGCTTCAGCATTTTGAAACATTTCCACATTACCTTTTTTTTAAAAAAATGTAAGATTATGGATACTTTTTTTTGTTTAACCAACTGTATTTAATTTATGCACAATCTAACATATGTATGTATGATACAGTCCCAGTGATCATGCCTTCTTTTATTCCACTTATAATTTGATCTGGCTCTGTTCATCACACCAGTGAATGTTGCTGAATTCTTTGTATATGCAAATTGCAAGATCTAATACATTCAGAGGGAAGGATCAATCTTCCCTTGCATTTTCAGCCTCATTTTGGTCTTTAAATCTCTTCATTTCATACCCATACTGTGTGCATCTAGACTAGGAATTCAACAGCAACTGAAAATTCATTATGTAGATAAGCTATTTCATAGTTTTAAAAAGTCTGTTCACTGCAGGGTTGGGAGCCTGCTACCAGCAGGCAGAGCTGGGGCCCAGCTGGATTTCATGGCCGACCAAGGGGAAAGTCCCCTAGATGTTGTCCTGTCAGTCCTGGAGCTCTGGAGGAATTGGCCGGCTGGCTCATTCACAACAGGATTCTGAGCGTGACTAAGCAGGATTTTATCAGCATTCTCTCTCCCACTAGTAGCTGTGGGTCTGACTCACCAAATAGCCAAGATAGCCATTAGTGTATGGGCTGGTTCACAAGACACAGCATGCACACCCAAGAAGAAAATGCCTGGCTACAGAAATGCTGCCAAGAAGGAGGAATACCCCAGTGAGCCCACAAGCTCCCCGGGTCCAATCCGCCTTTTTAAAAAGTTAATCAATTAATATTTAACCACATCTCTTCTCTTGATGAGAAATCCTGACCTGATCAACGCTGAGTAAATCCCTTCTGCCTCCCCTCTTGTCCCTGGCCGCTAGCACAAGGACAGCCCAGACTAACCTGGAGCTTTGCAGGCCTGGCCACATGGGGAGGTGGGGGCAGAGCTGGCCACTTTGTCCTGTTTCATGCAGTCACACAGTAGTGACTGCTGCCTTACACCTAGTAGCATCTGTCCACTCCCCCGCCATCCTGCAGAGGAAGGCTGATCATTTCCTTAGCTGGATTGAGATCAGTTTTACAAGAGGCTGTTCATAGCCCTGATGTCATGCTATCCCACTGGGTTTCATTTTCAGCACCACATTGGGAAGAACAATTCTGTTTTGTTGGGAGGGGTAAAGGGCAGCATTTTGGTCCCATAGAATCACTCTCAAATAAGAAAAGCTGTCAGGCTCCTATGATCTCCAGGTCTCTTAGAAAGGTTATTACAATTGGACAAATCAGAAGAGAAAATCTCTAGTATTGGAGAATGCCAGCATCGCCTTGAGGCCCAGGTAGGACTGTATGTGCCTCAGCCAGTGGAGATGCTCGGTGAGTCTCTGACCCCCATGTAGCCCACATTTAGGTTTCGGTGTCAGAAGCTCCCACAACACTGCTTCCTCCCAGACACTGCGCAAGTGCTCCCTTCCCCCACCCAGGCACCGTCCACGAGTTGGCCTTTTACGGCCATGAGACTCTAGGGCATCCGAGAGAGATATTTGGAGCATAGCTATGGCTCCGCACTCTCTAGTATGGAAACCCAGAATCCCAGATCAGGAGAGAGCTGCCCTCTTTTAAGGAAAATGTCTAGCACCCTTTGTGTGTCCTGGACCCTCTTGGCCATCTAGTGAAGCCCATAGATGTCTTCTCAGAGGCATGTTTTTCAAGACATAAAATAAAATATAAAATCTTACAAAGGAAACCAATGATGGTGAAATAGTTAACAGCTTCCCCCCTTCCCCCATGAAGAACCTCTGGTTGGGGCTAAAGATTGAGTGAATGGCCCTGCTGCTAGCCCCCTCCTCAAGGCCCACTCCCCCTCTCAGTGAAATAGCTTG